GCTTTCTTAATACAGATCTTCCCTATCCTACATTAAGGTAATTCATTGATTTATTGTATGATGATAATGGGAATGAACAGTGGACAATATTTCATAAACACCTTGATAGTCTTAATATTTTGTGAGGGATGGTGGAAGACAGTGGTGGTTTTATCCTACTCTACAAAAATTAGAAGCTAATTGGCTTGCTGTTGTCCTTCTGAAGCTGTTCACAAAGCAGGAGCTTTAAAATGTGGAGGTTCCAGCTTTTGAGGTTATGTTCATAACATTACTTTAAAAGACAAATACAAGAAATTGCTAACTTGCTGTGGTGCTCCAGACAGCAGCTAGTGGAACATCTTGGTGACAAATTTAATTGGTTTGCTATTCATTAGAACATTATAATACATATATTTGAACCTGCTCGGTTTGTATTTCCAAAGATTGGATTGATAATGTCATATCCCACTTGTCTCTGCCCCACTTTCTGTATTGGAACAAGAAAGTTTGTAGTGTCAAGTATTTGGAAATATCAACATATCAACTAAAACAGAGCTACAGAAGTTTTGCTTTATAACTGAGTCTGACAGTTCTCCATTGGTGAACGTTAATTGCAAAGTGAGGAGAACATAAGATACAGTGTTGTAAGGGGCTTCAGCTTGTGAAGTAGGGTATTCCTCTGTTCCAAATTAGGATTTAATGGTAGATCTCTAAAGTATGTATTGAATTTGAGAAGTCAGAACAAAACATGAAAACAAACGTGGAACAAACTTAAATCTTCAACAGCAAATTATCTATTTGATTATGGATTATACCAAGGTAACTTTTTTTCCTGAGGGATGAAATATAGCATACATCATAGGAAATATAGGAACTAGTTTGCTTTCGGTGCTGCTAAAAATGTGAGGTTCGGGTTTCTACCAGTTTTCAGACTACCTGGGGCTGATCCATCCATTATCTCATTTTAGGGTGGGCAAGAAGTAATTTACCTACCCAACATGGAGGCTTGTGGATCTTATGTGTAAATGTAATGTCAAACGTAGTTTTGTTCTTCAGGAACTGTATGAAAATTTTGCTTCCACACAGGGAAGGGGATAGCATTGCAGGATTATTTGCCTTGTGGAAAGGGAAGAAAACAATGGTAATCTAGTCCTAAGGTCTGGAATGTCCATCAGGTTAAGACCAAAATGTCTCGATTTTTTGGCAAGAACATTGTTGTGGTGCAATTCAGATCCTTCCTTTCTGTGCTGTTAGCAGATTTGAACTGCACCATAACAATGTACTTGCCAAGAAATTGATTGCTTTTGTTGTTGGGGAAATGTTTTGCCATTTCTTTCACACTTCTTTTATTTTATCTTTTGCATTCTTGTTACAGTTAGATGCTGGTGTGCCAGAAAAAATAAGCCTCATTTCCAGAGATGAGAAGAGTGTACTTGTGGTAACTTACAGCGATTTAAAGCGCTGCTTTGAAAATACTTTTCAAGAACTGATTGCAGCCGCAAATGGTCAGTTGTAGTATTTGCTGAAAGCATGCAGGACATTGCTGAGGAACTTAACCAATAGCAAATTGCACTACAGCTGAATTGTTGTTGTCATCTCATTTCACATTTGGGAAACAAACAGGAGATGAGCAAAGCTGCTTGCACTTCAGTCAGGTACACTGTTACTTGAAGGGAAGAATGTTTCACTTATCCTAGAGCTAAGGCTGCCATTGGAGGCTTTATCTGTGAAGAATTTATTTTAGATTAAGGAACACATCAGGTGCATGATGTTCCTACTTTTATTTTTTCCACTTGTATATGCACTAATTTTAATTTTTTTAAGACTTTTCTGATCTCTGAAGTTTTGCCACATTGTATACTTTAAGGGAAACTCTTTGCAAGGACATTTCTGGGATACATTTTTGTCACGGAAGATATAGCAAAATTTATTCATTTTTGATATTATTTGCACCCAGAATAGCATAAAGGACCAGGTAAATAATTTAATAGAAATTGTGTTCTATTAATGACCATTTAGTTCCTAACCTCTGTAAAAGTGTGTTGTATGCAAGCTCTGTATGCCACCCACTGTTAGCTCAAAGAAATATGAGAAGGCGAAACTTTTTAAAACCAGTCAAGTGAAGTATTGATGAATTGACAAAAAAGGAAAGAAAGTCCCCTGTCATTTGATTTAAACTTTGTCTAAGCAAAGTGACGAAAATAGCATAATGGGAAACATCTATAATTTAAGGAGCATATCAAACTTGCTCTAAACACAACCAGCGCCTTTTAAAAACTGTTTGTACGTTTTCCTGGTAGTCAGAAGCATTTACATTTATGCAATTTTTTTAATAGATTTTTTTTTTAAAAGAAATTGTTTAAATGCCTGAAGTTTCAGGAGTGTATTACTTTAGGTTATTTACAGTATAATTTTTGTATAAAGTTCTGTTCTTTGAACCACAGCTTTATTATGGTACGCTACACTGGATACAGATACAAAGACACTGTTAAAAGAAGATTAACTAAACACAGCAGTTGTCTGGCATCAAGAGCTTTTCAAGTTTTACGGCCTGAATCTGGAGGGATAATGATCTGCTGTGCCTTTGCAGTCACTGCTTAGCCCAAAGTAATATTACTTTTGATAATACTCAGCACATGAATATTCCTGAAGTAATTCAGTCTCAAAAGTCTGGAATTTTCCTCCTCAATTACCTTTCTAATATTTGGACATGCAGTTGTCTCCAAACTTGGGTATTTATGGGATTTCTAGTTAAACACCTACACTTTGATACTGAAGACTGCCAAATATGTAGGAATTTCCTTTCTTAAAGCAGTAGTGAAGACTGTATCTATCCTTTCCCAGCACTGAATGTTTTAATAGCACTGGGTGCTCACCATGAAGAAAATGTGGAAACTCAAAAGGTCAGGACAGACTCTAAGCACTTGCAACTGATGTTACTGACATCAATTTTAATAATTCTCAATATTTGTAGTTTTCAGAGAAGTTTTTAATATTTCTCTGTCCACTTTTATAAGCTTTAAAATGATTCTCCGCCTTGAGACTTGCATCAAGAAAAAAGCAACTCTCTTCACATCGAAAGCTTTGAAGACTAGGGACATGCTTTACACATGTTAGAAAATGTGGTTGAATCCACATTAGGTAGCATCAGTTGATGAGTTTAAAAATCGATTATTGTTGCAATTTTAAAAGGAACATAATGTTTAATATTCAAATGATAACAGTTGCCAGAATGTTCTTTTTAATATAAAAGGAACAGGAACTTTGAAAAGTGAACATGCAAAACAGTCTTTTATCATTAGCTCATGTATTTGAGGAAGAGCAGCTGTCTTTTCTATGTTTTTTGACAAATCATATTGTAATTCTTTTGTACAAAAAAGAAGTACTTGTATTCTAGAAGAAATATGGAATGCTTAATTTATAAGCGGGCTGAGGTTTTTTCCAGTATTGTTTTCTTTGAAAATGAAAGGGGATCATCTGTTCAGTTGTGGGGTTTGGGAGCCTTTGAAAATTTAATTTGTGGACCAATATTTTGTGGCAGTGTAAGGCAGGGGTAAAATAGGGCTTGAATTCTCATCCTTTTTAGACCAGCACACCCTCTGCAAGACATGTCTAAATTGCAAACCTGTGTGTATTTGCATAATGTCAGTTTGCTTCAGCCCCTAGTAACCTCAGGACTTGGTTTAAAAATAAAAAGGTAGACAGCTAATAAGTTTTCGTACATAATGTCAGCCAGAAGATATTTGGTGTCAGGTAATACATAAAATAAAAAAGAAGTTGAGCTTTGTTTTCTATTTATTTTATTTGGTCCGTATTTGGGAATGATTTGAACAGTCTGAAGTTCAGCTTGGGTATTTTTTTGGGGAGAGCCCTTCTACCCCATTTTAATTCCATTTAGAAGGTTGTCCTAAAGTTGTAGTTTGATGCAGTCATAGGAAGAACTGTGTATCTGTATTTAAAAGAAGAGTCACCAGGATGTGCCCTCCCAGATGGGAAATTTATTTCTGACCTTCCAAATTTTTACAGCTAAAAGCACAGAAGGGACAACCTTTGAAATCATATGATGTTGGTCATTTTAATTTTTGTACCTGTTTTAAATTCTGTTGCTGTATTTACTATATTGTAAATATTTTGTTGAGGGTACCTATGTATTTTTGATTTGCCCTTGTTTCGGTAATTCAGGTGTCAACTGCTTCCCCTAAAAAGCACCAGTATGTTAAGTTCTAATGTCATGATCCCAATATGTGTTACTCATCTTTAATCCCGTTTTCATTGTTCATGTGTACAGCAGTATTTTTAATAAAGAATACCAGAAGTAACGTGGCCTTATTTTGACAATGTGAAGTTCTGAAGTTGGATAGAGGGCTTTTACACTTTGGTGCCGGAATTGTAATTTCATTCTGTCTCATACTTTTGTATTCATTCTGTTTGCAATGCAGAGTTTCAACAATTAAGAGTCACAAATTGTGTTTAGTGTTTGCCACTTAAAGTGTATCAGATGTTTTAAAACGTACAGGTGCTGTTGACTAAAGTTGTACTCATGCATATTTCCCTTATTTCCAAGTCAAATCCCATCTGCTTCAGTTGAATGGGGTCTTCTTTATTAGATAAGCCCTAAATTTGAAAACTCTGCTCAAGTACCCTTACTTCCCTGTTTATTGAGCTTTTTTTCCCCCATAACAACGTATATTAATTTCTGTGAGAATTTGCATGTGGAGTCATGACAGCTTCACTTCCCAGAATTATTTTTTCTGTATTTTTAACCAGCAACGGTTAGATGATTTGCTGTTGGGATAAAATCTCCTGTATCCATCTAATCCTGACCATGCTTATGGAACATGAAATTTTGTGCAATATATGTGAAATTGCCAGTACCCCCTGCATATATCTAACATAGAGTTATTGTCCCTTAAATTGCAGTGTTTTAAAAATATTATTATATAAGCTTCAATAAGCTTGATTGATGCACATATCTAGTCTCCAGTTTCCTCCTTAGTAATGTGCAGCAGCAGTTACACAGCTCCTGTGGCAGTAGGTGATCCCATTATGTTCTGCTTTCACAAATAAAGTTTCATCTCCATTTCCTTCCATCACTTCACATGGATGAGGTGGGGATCTGGAGATTCTCTGAAGAAGAGAAAGCATCTGTCCAGGCCTGAGGTGCTACCTGATGTCACAGTAGTTTTGGAACAGGCTTTGTTGGGGACACCTTAGCTCTGTTTGGTGTCCTTTTGTCTGTTGTGGATCTTCTGGCTGCAGAAGGAACATGGTAGGTGGTTGAGTGGATGTTTGTTCGTGGGCTGCTTAGTCTTCCCCAACCATGAAACCTCGCCTCTCCCAGAGGCGGAGTTGAATTTTTACCTCTAGGCAGCAGTGAGCACTTCTTAAATATGCTGAAGCTAGGGGATGTCCCTCACACAGGGGGCAGTTCAAGTGTCTCTCACTGTATCTGCTTTGCTGTGTGAGAAGTGTGCCTTCTGAGTTATTATTCCATGTTCTTATTTGCTCACAAAACTGGCATGTGGGATGGATTTTGTGCCAGATGTTTGTGCTGCCCAGTGCTGAGTCATCTGCCGCAGCAGTCTTTGACACTGACAGAACTCTGAATTCTTTCGAAAGCAAACTTTATTATATGAATTTAGCAGTCAAATACATTATATGAAGACAGAAAATGCAAGACAAAATAGGAGTTATTCACATCTGAAGACACTTAGGAGGTTCATATAAAAGTAATCTTTGTAATCCAGTTTTCTTAAATATTTATGCACAAAAAGCATATTTATATATTTACATTGTGCAAATGCTTCCTTTGAGATGCATCATCCTGTTACTGTTTTTGTTAAATTCAAGTTAGGAAACAGTTCTTAAACTTTTGTTTTGATCAAAGTCAAATATACTTTGCCAGCAAGAGACAGTGCAGTAGATTCTTAAAACTGATGATCTCTTGGCCAGGAAGATCTGGAATTGATACTTAGCTTAGAAGTAGTGGTACATATTTATTTTATTTGCATATCTAAGATAATTTTATTTGTAAATATGCAAAAGGTCATTTGCCTTTGTTTGTTAGTGGGTTACATTCACAGCTCTTAAGCTGAATTCTAAGAGGTCAAGACCATATAACATGTAGCATTTGAGTTAATATATATTTTTAGTGGACCATGAGAAGCTGAGATTGGGCAGTAATTGATTTGAAGATATCAGTGCTACTGTGTTAAATGGCCAACTCTCATTTTAATATTGCATTCAAAGGTGAAGGGGAATGGGTACATCCTAATGCTTCTCTAGCAAAGAACACTCATGTTCTGAGATGCTATACCAAAGTCTGTTGCAAATAAATGATACATTTTTATTCCTGTACATAGATAGTGGTAACTAGCATGGAAATTTAACTCTTCATAGAAAAACTGCCCTAACTTTACAGGGAGATTGTCTTGTAATTTCTAACTGATCTCTTCAAACTCTCTAGCAATCAATTAATTTAAAGTATATGCAGTTTAGTAGCCATCCTGTCTTTTCAGACAAATTCCCATAAATAAAATATAATCAGTGCAGTGTTACAAGGTCCACAAGGTTTTTGTGGACAGAGCTTGGCTTTAACATATCTAGTTTGTGGTTTGGTTCCAGTTTGTGCGTCTTGGCATATTAACAAAGTGCAAAACTTGGAGAATATTTACTTGATTTCAGCAGGCTTATCCAAACTGAATTGATATGTATTCCATGTTGTTGCAGCCGTGGCTCTGGTCTTAGTTCTTCTCTGTCCTTACCCATTGTGTTTAGCAACACATTTTAAATTCTTGCCTTGCAAGGCTCCCTATCATGCGTGCCATCTGAAGTAGTTAAGATCCATCTAATGCCCCATTCCCAAATAACCTATTCGGCTTCCCCAGAGCATCAGCCTTCCCTCAAGTTTCTCAAAGTAGTTTTCATTGAAAATGTAGCTTGTGGTCTGTTTCTTGTTTCTACCTTGTTAAAGAATCCTTTTATTTTCCAGCACTACACATAACCCAGCAATAGGATGCAAATGCCTTAGTGCCTGATGCAGGCTCCTGACTCTCTAGGGCTCCCAGCTGCCTCTCCTGACTGGGACAGCAGTGCTGCACCTGGGCCTGAGCAGAGGCTTGGGGACAAGAGCATGAAATGCCATTCTGCTGCCAGGGACCAAACAGTGAACTAGTTTTCTGTGTAATAAGTGGCCATCCAGGTTTTCCTGGATGGAGAAGCATGGGGCATTTTTAGCAGCTGTTGGTTTTGAGCATTTGGGAAAGTCAAGGCCTAAGCAATAGAATGTTGCTGTATTTTGAATACGTTTGTTGTGGTCTGTAGAAAAGCAGATCACTGTGATTAAGCCAATGATAACCTTCTAAGTTTTATAACAATTAACATAATTTGGGTCAAAGTTCTTAAACTGACTGTTTTTCCTAAGAACCTTTTTGGATTAAATGCATATTTAGATTTTGGCCTAGAAGTACTTAAACAGGTGTTCGAGAATAATGGACAACAGAGTTATATTCAGGAGGGGGAGAATGGCTGGCTTTCATTTTCTCCAGCACCGCATTACCATAGGTATATCTTTGCTTGGAGTCACTGAGATGGTCACAGCTGAAACTGCAGAAGCTTCTTGGCTTGGTTATTCCAGAAAGCACTGACTCCTTGCTCCTGCTGGCACCTTTAATGCTGTAAGAGAGCAGTGTCACTGTGAGCTTACTTAACTTGTAAAGGCATTTGGTTTAATGACTTGAGCAAAGCCAGGTCACAAAAAGCAGCTTTGTTTATTCTGACATGATGAGGAGGGCATTGATGCTGATGGGCTCGCTCAGTGGGATTATGGAACAGAGGAATGAAGGAGCCCTCCTGTGTTCCCCAAGTCGCCTTTTGAACAGAGAAGCTGCGACTGAACATCACTGTTAAAGGTGCTTGTGTTCACAGTATCAGTCTTGGTGTTTGCAGGGACTACCTGATTGGTCAGCCTAAGCTCTAGTGGCTCATCTGTGGCAGATGCTGGCAAGTGAAACGTCATTGCAGGGCAAAGTAGGGGGGAGTGTCTGGCATCTGTGCTGCTGGGCTCTGCAATACCCATAGGGTCCCTGTGCCTAAATGTTCTTCCAAAGGGAACTGGGATTTTTTTTGAGCAGGAATGAAGTAATGAAAAGTCTCAAGCCTGGGAGCAAAAGTAGAAAACTACTAGTGTAGGTGTTCCCAAAGCCTAATGCTGGGATAAATTCCTAAGATAAACAGCCAGGGTTTGTGAGGAAGGGCATGAAGTCTGGGTATCTTCTCTCTTGGGCTTCCTTTGGCAGCTGACATGAACTGCTGGTTTGAATTAGAGATTTCCTGTCCAAAGAACCTTACAGTTATCCTGTAAGCTGCCTTTTATAGGATACCCTTTACAAAGAGGGGTTTCATGTCTTCTTAACCAAGCCACTCTTAAAGACACTTTGTTTTACAGCACTTTCTCACCCATATTAAGAGATTGCAGTGCTTAAAAGGGCTCTTTCAATAATAAAGTTAAGGCAAAGAGAATTTTCACACCATTGAAGTTCGATACCAAAGATTTATTCATAGACAAAGGACAAGCCAGAGCATTTTCCGTCATTGATTACATGTGAAATCCTAATGTAAACATGTTGGACCACAATGCCTAAAATTAGATTCCTTCCCCTGTATTTTTAGAAGTTCATGGACAATTCACCCCTCTCTGTTTATAAGGTCAGGAACGTTGGCAGCCCTAGTCTTCAATTCCAGAGAAGACAGTCAGAACATCTGTTGAGGCTTTCAGAGCCCAGGGTTTTGCTTTTCATTTTAATTTCCACTGTTAGGTTTTTAAATAAAAGTACAGAACTGGTAGCGCATGTCCATTCCTCTTTTGGAAATGGAGAACTAACGGTTTCTCTTAGATGTCACAGTTTCTCAGATTTTTAAATCACAAGCCTGCGTGCTTTTTAACGAGTGTGGTCTCTGTCTTCTGTCCTACTGTAGGAAATTGGAAGGTCCAATTCCAAGAAGACCACCCCAGTCCATTTATTTGTAGATGGATGGAGTTCTTGAGGAGGAACCCACATGATAAAGATTGCAGATGCATCCCCTGTTTTTATGTTGCCCTTGGCATAAATTCTGTAAATATGACAAGGTTAGTCACAGACTCTGTAGACTTTTTGTGATGGGTTTAAAGAGAAACATTTCTGTGATTTACATTGTAATTGTGAGTCTTATGGAGCAGTGGGCTGGCAAAAGTGAAGTGTGCATGCAAAGTTATGAGTCTTGAAACTGTCACACTTTGATCCTTTCATTCATCATCAGGCTTTTGTGTCCTGAGACTTTTCTTGTGAGCTAGACTTGGCTTCTACTTTAATTAATAAACCTTTATATCAGTAGAGCTGCATCTGTTAATTTTACCTTGAGTGCACTGCTGTAACTGGGCATGCACTCCCACGAAGAGCTTTGAGGGAATCCACAGGGTTTTGGCATCTGTAGTCAGGCTTCATTTTGAGACTGAGTTTACAGTCAGAAAAGGCTTGTCTAGCTGTGGACTATCTTCTTTCCATTCTAGGCATGTAATTGGAAACTGTGTTTAGTAGCTCTTTAATTGGGATTGTCTGTTGGATGAAATTGCTGCTGCTTTCCTGACACATCCAGGACCACAGTGAAGATAGAGGCCGACTGTGGCTCTTGAGACACTTATTCCAGCTCACAGGAGGTGGAGTTCTCGCTGTTTTTCTGGCTTAGGAATTTACGTTGGCTTAAGGGTTTGCCTCAGCCCAAAGATTTTGGCTTATTTGGATTGGGCTTTTTCCCCAGTACTGAAAAGCTAGAAAAGGGTTGCAGTTGGGATTCTCTCCACCTGTAAAGGAGCACACACTGTTCTTTCTCTGCCCCTAAACCTTTCTATTGGGATCTTGTTACCCAAGGACTTAGGAAAGACCTGTTTCTCTTCATGCTGTTCACAATGTCATTTTCATCTCAATGGCATTAGCAAGTCCAAGACACATTGCAATGATTTCTGCACTGTGCTCCTGGCCACCACCTTGGCCTGGGGGCTCACCAGGATTTGGACTGATGCTCTTTCCTGTAGTGAAACCAAGAGTGAGCTTTGGCATTAATGCCTTTTCCTATGCAGGAGAAGTGGAAGCCCAAGAGGAGGGGACTTGCTCGGGTCCGTGGGGTGCCCCTCCATTGTCAGATAGACAATGAACCCAGCCCCTGGGCCTGGCTCTTGGATTGGTCACGCTGAGTAAGCACTGCTGCACATACTGGCTCTCTCCTGCAGTCAACTCATTAGTTTCCTCTGAAACAAACCCCGAGTGTGCTTCTGGGAACAGATAGGACGCACTGGGTTTGGGTCCTTCCACCCTATGCAGTTCTTCAGCCCTGTGATGGTGGATGTGGCCCTGCGAAGTCTGAATCCTCCAATGGAATGCTCCAGGACACACCTCCCCCCTGTGCTGGTCTGAAAGCATCACCCACTTGGCTGGCTTAAATGTCAGTTCAGATGCTATGAACAGTGGAAAAAACATGCTGAACCCAATTGTTCTGCTCTGGACAACAGGAAACCATGGGATCCTAGGAAAAGGCAGGCCAACCTGCACAGGCCCACAGCACCCTCAGCCTTGCCTCAGGACCCACCCACTGCTGCAAGTGCATTTTGTCTGCATCTGTGTCCTAAACTGCAGTGTGAGGTTTACAGTGTGAGGGCAAGTGTTCTGGGGCATTGCAGTGCAGGGGATCTAATGGTAGGTAATCTACTGCCAAAAGGGGGGTGAAACCCTTCCTCAGCCTGGTGCTGGCACCAGCTACCCTGACAGTGAGCTGCTACTGCTCACTCAGGAACTATTCTGGGGCTAACAACCCAGAATCTAACAACCTGAACCAGCTTCCTGCAAGACAAGCCAAGCTGAAATGTCAGCAGAAGAGCACAGGACCACAGAGGAGGATGCTTGAGATGCAAAGGAAGAAGCAGGACTGCATCTACTTAGATGAGTTCAGATGTGTCAAACCACTCCGGGCTCCACCTTGCTCAGCACAAAGTTTAGGGGCGTTTATTTACTGCTCCAATTTAGCCTAAGTAAAGGATGCTTAGCTAAGAAGCTACCACTTTTAGGAATGTGTGCAGACTAAAGGGTCACCGCCTGCATTCATGTACGAGAATACTTTCTGGCACAGCACTACAGTACCACTTGTTTAGCTTGCAGGCCAGATGACTTTCTGTGACCTAAGTCAACCACTCTGTTTCCCCAAGGTTTTAGGTTCTAGCAACCACTCTTGAGTTCAGTTTTTTTCTATCCAAGCATTCCTTTTTCCTTCAGCAGCTAAAAATGCCCTCTTAAGCACTTCTGGAGGGCTGTTTGGGCCACACTCCATGCATTCCGTACCATGCAAAGAAAATAGGCATTTCATAAATTTCATTGGGGAAGGTTGCCATGTTGTCTCTGTGGCTCACAGCAGCCTTCAGAAATGTCATGTTTACACAGAGAAGAAATGAGTTTAACTACTTCTAGGGATGATTGCATCCTTTGGAGCCCTTTAATATCCACACACATTCCAAGCTCTATGGTACCTGTCTCCTCCAAAGACAGTGTGCCTCAACAGAACTGAAATACCATACAATTGCTTACAAGCCTATTTTCTGAAAGGTCAAGGCAGGAGGAAGGGTTTCCCAGCATTCATTTGGAGTGGCTTCTATTACCTTGGCTTCACCATGCATGAGCAGTGCTCCTGCGTGCAGTGCAGTCTCCTGCCAGCAGTGCACTTACTCATACCTTGTATTTCAGCTCTGTGTGTGCACGCTCCCATACACGTTTCTGCGCTTTCAACCAACGCCCTTTTAGTCACTGGAATTTTTCTTAAAGTGAGTCCTCTCTGCCTTGCCTGCATTTTTCAGCCAGCTCCAATTGTTCATCGAGACAATGCTACACCTCTCAGCCTGCCCAATTGCAAGCCGCTGACAAGTTTGGCACGGCCAGGATGGCAGGATGGCCTTGACCTCCTGCCAGTGTGAGATGAATGATGGATTGGGTCTGGCCAGTCTCTGGGCTGGGTGAGAGCACTGAGCTAAAACCAGGACACTTCCAGCTTGGCAGTGGCTGGGAACGGGCATTCAGAAAATAAACACTTCCCATTTGCAGAGAGTTCATGTCAGTGCAACTCATTTCTTAGGGCAGCCCTAGTTCCCTGCTTGGGCAGCTGTCAGGAATTAGGTGTAGGAAGATGGCCAATATATTCAAGTGCTTAAAGGCAGGAAGAGAAGTGAGGCCCTCACATCCATCTATTGTAAAGTTGCCACTTTAGCATCCTGAGCCCATGGGTGTTAAATGGGCTGTGCTTAGCTGAGTCATGGAAAAGAAGGGCAAAAACAAGCCCAGAGGTCCTTATCCAACTGGGGTGCCCTTGGGGACTTGCAGAAACAACTGCAAATCCTTCACAGCCGTGCATTCCTCCTCCTCCATTATCAACAGCATATTTCCTACAGTTACCTGCCTCTTACCTTAGATTAGTGCTCTCTGACACTCACTTGTCCAGCCTGGCATTAAGTTGAGGCTTTGGTGGATCAATAGAGTGCTAATAAATCATATTGCTGATGTGCATCAATGGGGTTGAGGGTTATTTGTTTCCTCAAAGGCATATAGAGGGTTAGGTGTGGGAGATGATCGACTGCTGATTCAACCAAGTGGGACACACCTCACCAAGAGTGTTTGCAGGAACTGGGGACACCTTAGCTACTTTGATGAGGCACAGTGTAGCACAAGGACCTTGAATCCTTCTTTGCCCTCTAAAACATAAGAAGAAGGGAACATAAAATACAGACCCAAAGAGTGTCCATTTCTGCTTGCTGCCTGTCCATGTGAAGCGTTTCAGTTCTTCTGGAGCCAGGGCCATCCCACTGTCTGCTTGGTAATCCTTGAAGAAAAAAGAAAGATGCAATCTTATTAGGTGTTAACTATAGAATTGACAATGGACTCAATTCCTTTTTGGTCTGATTTCCAGCAGCCATTTGGTTGCCGATACTGAAAGAGGTCTAGGAGACAGCAGCTCCGTGCTACTGGAGGTGCTGCAGTGCCCAGGTATTTAATGGTGCCTTTCCAAACTGCCCTTGCTTTGGAGCCCAGCAAACACATACTGTTAATGCAGATACAGGGTGCAAAAAGAAAAGTGTCTACATGCAATGTGAGGTTCTGGCCAGCCCGTAGTTCAATCCTTTGAGGACCACTGTGGCTTTCCCACCTCCTATTGCTTAATGCATACAACTGGGTCACCAAAAGCTTGCCCCAACCTCTCACCCATGCCCACCTCTACCTGGATTGTATGTGTGTCTCATTAGCTGACATGTCCCCATCGTGTGCATCTGATAACAGGATTTGTTCCTACCAGGGCCCTCTGATGGAAATGTGACTCACAGTTCTCATTCGTGCACTACTATTCAGATGAAAACACAAATCCAAAGGATTTTAAGTGTCTTTCCCACACCAGTGGGACTTAGGTGGGGCTCTGGCAGCTGTACTTTGCAGACCTACTCAAACTGACCAGAGGAGTGTTTGCAACCTATGACATGGTCAACAAGAAAATGCTGACCCCAATTTGTAAAGCAGTGGGATAACATCTTGTTGCAAGCACGGCTAATCTTGCACCTTATATCAGTAGAGCTGGCAAAACAGTAACCCCCCTGTCTTGTTTATCCCTGTATAAATCTCTCACACAAATAAAAAGAAATACATGGTGCACCATGTGGCCCAGGAGTCACTTACATTAAATACAAGTGTTTCCTTGATGGGAAGCTCTTCAAATGTCTTTATGCGCTGGTGGGGGGTTATTTTGAAAGTGTTTATGTATCTGTTCAACAAGAAAAGCAGGAGAATTTTTGGTGAGAGTATGAAGTGCGTAAGCAGAAAGTGCTGGATATGTCTCCATTTCTTTGGGCAGTTCCCAGCTATCACTGAGGTAGGTCATACAAAAGGGACTCCTTAACCAGACCCCACCCAAACCTCACTCCCCAGTTGTGGAGTGCACACAGCTGCCCTTCTCGCAATGCCTGAGCCCTGTGACTTGAAGGTACCCCTGTGCAGGGACACTCCAAAGAGCTGTCCCAGCCCAGTGGGTGGATCAGTGGCTGATGGGACACATCTGAGTGTTTTCTCCCATCCAGATCCAAAACAGGCTATGCAGCAAGCTACCATCCCCAACAAAAAAACTCAGTCTTTATCTGGCTTGTCTCACCTGATGTTTTCAGTGCTTCCAGAACCTGAGCTTGTAACAGAAAGATTTTCATTGCACAAAGGGTCAGATGCATGGGGAAACCCACTTTTAGTTGTAAATATTGTGCTGAGGGGTATGTAGTCTTTGCCTTCCTAAATGCAAACAAGAAACGAAAGTGTTATTCCTGGGACCATGTGGCCAGTCACCCCTGCCCTGGCGACAGCACGCGGTTCTGACATTAGTACCTGCTGGACATTTGCTTGCAGCAGGTCACCCAGCTTTTTCACCAGCTCGGAGAACCGTGGCCTGTCATTGGGATTGCTCTGCCAACAGTCCAGCATGATTTGGTAACTGTGAGGACAAAAGCAAAGTGAGCACAAGGCAGGGTTACAGCCCCATTTGATCTAAGGCAGCGCAGTCACTGACAGCTTGTCAGTGATAGAGTTAACTCCTGAACCTGCCTGACTTCACAAAAATTGTCTCTAACACCACGGAGGCCTCTTCCTAAAAGTAAAACAGTAAACTTTCCACGAAAAAAAAGAAATAAAACCTTCCTGCAAGATCCTCGAGGACCACATCAAAAGAATAATTTAGCCAGCTAGTCATACTTGCTTTTTTTCATTCCTAATTACGCATTAAATCTTTATATTAAACATCTATTAGCTGGCAATGTTTAGGTTAAGGCATTGTAAGATGACTTATATGAACGTGTCACTTCCTTGTATTGGTCAAGCTGAGCTTTCCTTCCTGCAATAAAATATGTGGAAGAGAAAAAAAAAAGTTCTTATCTACGGTCACTAGGATAATAAAATTGGCCAATGGGCAATACTCCCAGATAGGCATGGCTGGCTTGCATCCTTTTCTTCTTCCAGAACTTTTTTTTGGTAATTGTTGCTATTCAGGGTCATGACATAGCGCTCAGAAAGGCACCAAGACACGTACAAGTATTTGGTTTTGCCTCCAGAGGTAAAACACCTGGGATATGTTCATGTTTCTCAATGAGTTGTTTCATGGGGTGAATATTCAGTGTGCTGCATGTGCCTCCCTGGGCAAGGTGCTCTGTCCCACTTCCAGGGCAGAGGGGCTGCAAACTCACAGTCCCATTTGGACCCCCCTAGGTCTCCAAAAAAGTGTTGGCCATGCAGTAGCAGCTTGAGGCTGCACCTGAAGGCAGGGGAGTGGGGAGCAACAGCCGACATCACGGTGGAAGGACTCGGACGACGTGGGCTGGGAGGCTGCAGGTCCCTGTCACCTTCCTCTGCCATCAGACACTGTGTGCAGGAAAGGGTGGACCCTCATTACCTGAGTGATTGCAAGGAAACTTCTGCTTTCACTTCCTAAGTCAAGATGATGTTAATAATGTCACATTCCTCGAGCACTTATCTGTGTGCATGTCAGTAAATATTAAACCTGGCGAGGAATGAATGACCTTCCTACTCCTCCTCCTTGCTCAACTCCCTTCGGAGCACAGCGCTGGTGGTGCACTGGGCTCAGGTTCATGTCCTTCCCTGCCCTCTCCTACCCTGTGGGAGGACCAGGGGGCCGAGGTACAGAAGAAAATACTGATGCAGGATTGAGTTTTTTTCCTTAGCCTGGGTCAGGGTGCTTTTACAGAGACTCTACATTATCTGCAAGGCAGGCCAGGATGGAGGGTGGTACACTAGGCAAGCAAAGGCATCTCACATCTCCTCGGTCGCTTGCTCCGGAGCTCGCATTCTTGTGCCTTCCTTCAGTCTGCTGCAGAAATCCTCATCTATTTGGACTCCAGGGTAAGGAGAGGCGCCTGGAGGCAACATTGGGAGAATAGATACATGCCTTGAGTTGGGTACTTGTGACCTAGCTGTAACCCTTATGCATCTCCCTCAAACACTTGAGATGTGCAGCACCACGTTGCAGAGCTGGGGATCAGAGGATACCCTCTCCACTGCAAGGTCTGGTCCTGCCAGCTGCCACAGACAGGGAACTGCTGCTGGTGGTGCTCCAAGCCCCAGTCCTTGGAGGGGGGCAAGATCAAACCCAAAGCTATTTGCGGTGCTTACCTGGTCTGAAAAAATACACATGAATTTGACTTGAAGAGTATCCCTTGAAAAGCCAAGTCTGATCTTTCTATTGGTTTGGACTACTCCAAATTCTAGTATGCAGAGTATTAACAAACCCCAAATGCTTAAAATCACCTTGAAAAAAAATTGAAATCTTTGTTTTAAATCAGATCACAGTACATTTGCATTGCTTTTCTAGTTTCTCTGTTTTTAAGATGCAGCCTGATTATGCTGTTGGTTTTTTATCTGTGGACAAGAAAAAAAAATCAGGAAAAAGGAGAACGAAAGAAAAAAAAAAAGACATGTCAGAGACTTGCCAGGTTCAAGGAGCTGGGGCTTTAAGAAAAAAATAGCAAGTATTATGAAGCTGACCGTAAAATCACAAGAGTTGGCAGGCTGACCAACAACATGTATTTAAACTAATAAATGATTGATTGTCCTGAGAATTGTATAGTATTGTTTCCTCTGCTGTTTGCCTCTTTTGTCAGCCTCTGTGTTAAACTCAATTAAGATTCTTCTATTCTGACGGTCGTTGTTGTTCCCACTCAATGTACATCTTGTATCCTGCCTTTTCTACATGAAAGAAAGGGGGAAAAAAGCTTCACAGGGTTTTAATTCCAGATTGCATGCTCCAGTTCATCCTGTGCCATCTGTGCAGATGTTGTTCACCTGCTGTATCCAGTAGCCTGGGTGAGTGACATGCTGGATCCCTCCTGGACTGGGGGGACCTCCTGGTCTTGGGATGGAAATGGAGGTGACAGAATTGGATACATGCAAATACCTCTCTATGTGTTTGGCTCCCTTGCTCCCTCCTTTGAGAGAGCACCCAGCTCATGGCACTCAGTGTCTTGAATGCTCTCTGTGGCACGGGAGGTGATGCCTTGGGCCTGGGCAGCTGAAGACTCACGCTCACAGCTCTGTGTTATCCCATAGAGTTCCACATTCAAAAAAAATACTTTAAAAATTGCCTTATTTTTCTGGTTTTGCTCATGGCAGAAGTAGGTGGGAAAGTTCTCAGACAGCTGTGCTATCCATTAAGGCTTTCAGTGTGGCAAGTGAGCTTTCACTGTGCCTGACAAGCACCAAAACTTCTAGTCCACAGGGTCATGATACTCCCTTTGCTTCTATCTGCACACCCCACCTCTGACTGATTTAAATCTTTCTTTATTAAACACCTATCAAAAGATCATTGAAGGTAATGGATGTTTTTCCCCAAGCCTCAGTCCCCATTGCTGACTCCAGCTCCCGACATGCAGAGTTAACATACCCAAGGAAAATATCTCCCACAGCAAGACCCCATAGGACCACACGTCACTTTTTGTATTGTAGATTTTATCAAATATGGATTCAGGAGCCATCCACTTGAGAGGAAGTCGAGCCTGGAGTAAAAGGGACAAACCTGACTATTATTTTCAAAGCCTAAAACAATTTAATCATAGATGAATCAACTCTATATTGTTATGTAAATAATTACCATTCAACAGGAACCTGTGGGAATTTCTTACAGGTCGTCAAGATAAACCCACACTCATTCAGACACTTTCTTAACAAATTGTTGGAGTAAAAGGCTGTTTTTAAAATATGTGTGGCACAAAACACCAGACATTGGAAACCTGTGACCAGGCCTTTTCTTTAAAGGGATGTTGGGATACATAGGAGCAGAGGTCTCTTGCCCGTGTCATAGAGAAAACCCTGCATTTAAGCATAATCATTCTGTGATAGTGTTGGAGATATTCTGAGGGAAATTCTCAGAGCCTGAATTGCAGGAGTACATCAGCAACCCTTGAAGTCCGCTCAGCACAGCCTGTTAGGGTTTCCTGAGCAGTACCCTAGTTATGTGAACAACACTTCCCAGCTAATATGCAATGCTATAAATCTCAAAAGCTATTTATGGATGTGGGAATAGCTGGCAGCTGGGTGAGACCTCCAGAAAGAGACTGTCTGCGTGACAGTCCCATGCCAAATTCCCATGCCCACACCAAATTCCCATGGCACCAGTGGGTGCAGGTGCAGTTTGCTGACCAAGCCTTCACATCAGCCCTGGCAAGGTGCTTCCTTCCTGCTCTCTCCAGCAGGAGCAAAACAACCACTGAGCAGGTGCTGGAGGCAGCAAGTCCTGCTCAGCTCCTAGAAGCACCATTGAGCAGCTTCTCGGGAGCACCGGGGGGGCACACACCTTCTTTTGGAGGGACTGGTTTCCTTGAAGGAAGTTTACTGAATAAGGGGGTTATGCTGAGCCAGCCAAGAAACATATCTAAAAAGGAAAGTATTAATGGGGCAGAGCTGTGAAGTAGTTAGCATGTCTAAGCCTTATGCCTGAGGATAGAAATGCTTTCCAGACCCTCAACACATCTGGATAGCTCATCTTTGCTTTTGAGCTCTCAAGTTCAGGAAATGTGAATGTCTACAGAACATTTTGGTGGACAGTTTGAAATGATATGTTATAAACACTTGGGCAAATAAAAAGCATCTTGACTTACATCTCCTTTTCTCACATAATCAGGATTCTTATAAATATCTCTTGCGAGGCCAAAATCACAGATCTTCACGACATTGTTCTCAGATAAAAGGATGTTTCTGGCTGCCAGGTCACGATGAATGCACTATAATAAAACAGTTTCACAATCAAGCTGCATTTCCTTATTCCTGCCCACAAATTTCCTGTCTCCTATATCCTTAAAAAAATTATTATTATTATTATTATTATTATTGAGATCAATTTACTTTTTTTTAGAGAAGTTGACTGTAGTTTACATGGAGTTACTGTAAACAGTGGCAATTCTTTTAAAAAAAAATTTAAAAATTCTTAAGTCCAGAAGGAGATAAATTTTTAAGCCCCTTGACATTTGCAGGGAAAGCGCTGAATCATTTGGAGCTCCCCATCTAATATATGTTGAAATTAAGGAAAAACCTACCACACCCAAAAGATCTTTCCCAAATGAATGAGCTTGACCCACTGCCTTCAGTCATGATCCTGTTTTTATGGACTATGGAGACTTGAATAAACACACCATTATATTTATAACACCAAGAGGAAAATGGCTCTTCCTTTGGGAGCTTTCCCAAGGAAGGTGTCACTAAAATGTAGACATGATTTCCCTTCTTAACCCCGTCCTTCTGCAGGGAAAAATCCTTAGCGCAAAACTCACCTTTCTGGAGGAGAGGAACTCCATGCCTCTGGCCACCTGAAAGCTGTAAGAGATCAGGTCCTCCATAGTGAGGGGCAACTTGTACAGATCATCAGCATCTGCAGAGGTAGAAAGCGAGTTTTGTTACAAATATCACTCACGGTTATTTTCCTCCTTTCTTACAGACCCCATTACTTCCATAAATTCAGTTTTCACAGAGTGGTGTTTGAAGGTCAACCCACTGTAATTGGAAACAAAAATAGTTCTTGCTTTACACCCCATGCTTTGGACGCTGCTGTGTTTTCCCCAAAGATAAGGAGCAGTCAGAAGAAACAATCACACATTTTCCTGTCAGATTTAGTAACCCTGGAAATAATCTTTTTTAAAATCTTCTATCCTCTGGACATGACCCTCTGAGCGTCTCCCACGGATGTTTATTAGGGTGATAAATGAGGAAAAAAATTTCAGGGATGCACAGTATGTTGTAAAAATATCACAACCCATGTAGGGACAGGAAGGAATTAATACCTACCCTCCTCGTCCTCCTCCACATCTCTCAGACTTTTATCTTCCTGGAACCCAGAGCTTGCAAAGCTCTCACTGCTGGTGACGCTGGCCAACCTTTGTTTTTTGCTTTCCACTGGCTCAATATCCTTTTTCTCTTTCATTGGCTCTCCCTGCAGAGAGAAGTCCTTCAAACAAACAGAGGAGAAGAGGTGCTACATCAGAGTGAAGGAGGGGGTGGGAAAGGAACCGAGTCAGACTGCTGTCGCCTTTCTGCCAGGATGGTGGTCTGTGGCGTGTGTGGGCACGTATCCCATGGGCGGGGGTGTCTAGTGCCACAGCAGCCAGGGACTGGTGGCAGGGCTCCACCAAGGCTGCCATCCCCAGAGGGCAGAAACATGGTGGCTTGGGAGCACCAGCACATGATTTTGGGGTAACCAGGGCGGTGGGCTATCTCTGATGTGGTAAGGATTTGCAGGGTGTATGGATGGACGTGTCTGCTGGGCTGTGGCTCATCTCAGCTTGAAATGAATCATCCGGAAGAGCCCATTTCTCTCCACCAGACAGAGAAGGAGCACAAATGGATGAGCTGGGAACGATGTGCCCACAGTGCAGGTCCCAGCCCTCTCAACATCAGCAATTCGTCCCAGGCTGCTTAAGGCATCTGCCTCTATGTCCGTGTACAGTGCTTGGTGTGGGGCTGTAAGCCCTTCTGATGAGGAGCAAGAGCACTTGGTGCTTGAAATACAGGTACTGCTGGAAGTTACTCCCTCTCTTCAATGCCTTTATCCAATACTTTCATTTGATGGTCAAGGATGTGATGGTTTAATGGGACACATACTACACTGTTTGGAAAATGCCTTCTTACAGCTACCTGTAGAGCAGCCAAGCTGCCTGGCCATACTCTTGCCCATTTTACCTTTTGACTTGTCCTGTGACCATCTCTCTTCCCTATGCATGCTGGTGCAGAGTCAAACTTCCCCCTCCTTCCTTCCTGGGCAACCTTCCCAAGGGTCCTGGAGCACTGCACCTGGGAACACTACTCACCAGGTGAGTGACTCCACTCAGGATGGACCCTGCACAGCCCTAGTCCCTGCGGAGCATCCTACTTCAACAATGCCATGTAGCTGCTCTGTCTAATGCAGAGTCCAGCATGGACAGCCGTGGGAACAGAGACACAGAAAAAGCCTTTTGGAGGCAGATGTCATCTGAGTGTGCCCTCCCACAAAGCCCTTGCACAAAGTAACCCTGAGATGCTGCTGAACTTCTGGCACAGCTGAGCAGAGGTTTTGAGGCCTGCTGTTCAGCATCCAGGCTCCTAAATCTCATTTCATAGCCCTGGATCCTTTGGAGGATTTTGCTGGAAGTGCACAAGCATATAGTTGGCACATTTGGGTTTAGGTTTGTAATAAGAAACATGCCATAAATTTGATTCAGAGGATTGTGGGATATGGGGACAAGACTCTAATCTCTTTTCCTCTTGATAGCCCTTTTCCTTACACAATAATAAGATTACTTGTAAATCTCTAAATATTAGAGTGTCTTGGGATATGAGATTTAATTGGCATTATCTCAGTTTTGCTCCCAGCAGTACTGAAATCAGAGGGCAAAACCACTTCGTTTGGTTTTGCTGACACCAGCCTCTGAAGTGACCCCAAGCTCACCAGGAATGGGTTCAGCAGCAGCAGAGCAAGAGGACATGGGGACACTTTGGATAGGATTCAATTCCCCTCACGGTAGATGGCTCCAGCCACATTACTCACAGCAGTCTCCTTGCACAGGCGAGAGAGATGAGTCCTTTCTTGGCACAACACATCTCACACCAAATATTAATATAGGTCAGGTGAACTTCACCCAAAAGTCATTTCTCTCCTATGGTAAAAGAGAGTCTAAGGAGACTAGGTCAGAAGCTGACATCTACGCTACCAATACTTATGTCAGGTAAGATGAACCCTACCAGGAGCATCTGCCTCCTCACCTTGTTAGGGCTGAAAAAATTCCTCTTGCTCTTCAGATAGTTTGATAAATTCCCATACTTACAGTATTCAACAATCACCATCAGAGGCCCTGGTCAAAAATAAAAAAAAGCGTTCTGAGCAGTGTAAAGCAATACAAGGTGGCATCAGTTCTGAGAGGGATAGTCTTTCATGCCCGTAACTATAACTTGAGTCCAGAATAACTGGCAATATGTCCTAATGAAGTCAAAGGCTGCTTGAAGGACATTGGACATGTTATCAAAACAATACTGTTTCTGGAAATTAGGACAGGGCCTAATTTTTGAAAGCTGGGTCACGAATCTAAGTCCTGAGAGACTCTCTCTTTCCTCTTCAGTCAGTTCAAACTGGAGTCTCGCAGCCCACACACACTTGTTGAACTAAAATAGGTGACATATATAAAACAAACAATCGCTCATACTGGCCTTTTGATTTTCTAGTGTAATACCATGGAGAATTTTACAACAGCTGCCTTGTGATTTGTTGTTCAGCTCCAGCAGCTGATATCCCTTGTTACCAGCCTTTCCAGATCATGTTTAGCTTGAGCTTGAGCAGTGAAGTGAGTGAGATAAAGGACAGCAAGTGGCATGGTCCTATATTCACACTTCACATGCCAATACTAAAAGAGGGTTTAAATAGAGGAAATGTTTAAGGGCTTCATTAAATGTCTAAAAGTTTCTTCTTATCTTTCTCTTTTTGTTTCACCAACTATAGGATGAGCTCAAATATTACAAGTTAATAACTTGACCTCTGGATGAAAAACATGGCCAACTGACTGTTATTGGGAGGTAATCCAAACCCATTTTCAAAGCAGTGCAGACTTTTTTACCTCCATTTTTTGTGCAAGCTCCCAGCAAATTCACAATGTTGAGATGATGGCCAATGTGGATTAGGATTTTCAGCTCTGTCATCAGTGCTTTGTACTCACTTGCTGTGGCTCCTTCTGTAAATACAAAATAAAAGTCAATGTGAAATGGCAAAGAACTGGTCCTGCTGAGCTTTACCACTTCTTGTTACTTTCCATTGAAATAATCGCCATTAGTGGATGTACTTCTTGTGTTGATGTTCCTTCTCTATTCCCCCTGCTCAGCATTCTCTCAGTTGCAATTAAATAAAAAGAGTCAGGCACTCAACTTCCTCCCAGTAGACTCTGTTATATTTAGAACTGAGAGAATTTTTTTTCGCATGAATAGTTTTGATATTTCATCAAAAAAAAATTGGAAGAACAAATAAAAAAGGATTTCAAGATTATTACTAACTCTGTCTAGAGGAGGTTTCATTTGACTTGACTTCATCTATCCAAGTTTTATATACTAGCCTGAACTAAATATCTTAAGGAGTCAGTGGAAAGAGCAAAGTATTTCCAGAGGCTGATGCAGACATCAAGTTTAGACATCTGTATAGGGAAAAGATTAACTACCTGGTGGTAATGATTGTCCAGTTCTGTCTGTTATATAGGAAGCCTGGAGATAGACAGGGAAGTAAATTTTAATTGGTTTTAAAGTGATATGACTGCATCTCATCCTACCAGTCATGACCAATCCTAATAATAATACTAATAGTAATAAAATGAGAAATCCCTCAAATAAACCCAAAACATTCGATGTAGTGTTGAGTGCAACTTTTCATTCCCTCTGAGCACATTTTTTACTGCAGAATTTAATTTTGTAAAGAAAGCAAGGAAAAAAGCATATTGCTTTGTGTAGATCCAAAAGGACTTTTTCCGTTTAGTGACACCAAGAGCAAGAAGAACAGTGCTGGGGAAAAAACTCTGGAGCTAAGTCTTAAAGGACTTGGTTCAACATCTGAATGGAAACAGTTTTTCTTGGTGTCCCACATAAAACTTGTCATCTACCTAGTGACCCACTATTTGCTTGTATAGGTGGTGACACTTTCACTCCACTGCTGCCTTGATGATGCTGACTGGCACAAGAAGCCTGCTGACGGACAACAAGAAATGCTGAGCCTGGCAGACCACTCTGCCAGTACATATGTCTGCAAAACAGCTCAGTTAACCCAGGGTCAGACGATGACCCAGGTGACAGGCTGAAACCAGTGAACACTGAAACCACTGATATAGATGGCTATTGGCCCACTGCTGCAGGAGGTTTGGACAGGGACCAAAGATTTATTTTCCTCACATTTCCCAGCCATTCTTGCTGCAGGGTAGTTGTTCTTTTGACACTGACTACCAGAGTATATCTGTGCTTCTGAAGTAAGAGAGAGGAGAAAGGTTTGCAACCCTCTCAGTTGCAAATTCTGTCCTTGGGAATGATCCTGTATAGCATATACCACTCCCTGAGAAAGCATTGGACATTACATTGCAGACAAGCTTGTTGAGGACAAAATCAAGAGCGCGCACCCTATATGCTGTACAGATGCCAGACTGTAGGTCTGAAAGTATCGCACACGGCCCTCCAAGGGCTGGAATTGACACACACAGATCTCCTGTAAATGATAAGTCGCATCTGTGAAGCTAGGAGCCACCGGCTAAGGTGGATGTATTCAAACTGTACCTGAACAGATTCAACCAAGAGCATCAAGGATTCAAGCCTGACTGGCAGAATAGGGGATGTGTCCTGGCAGAGAACAATACCAAAAAGGACTGAGGGATTACAACAGACAAGTAATGCAGAATAAGCTCCCAGGGTAATGCAAAAAAGCCTGCTGTGATCTTTATATATATAAACAAGGGAAAGCTAAATACCTATGAAGGGATGCCACTAGGACTCCGGGTTAGGGAATTCAACCACAGCTGCTGCAGGCTATGACTGAATATCATCCTGCTTGCTAATTTCCCAAGTGCCCTCTTCAAATCAATGAGGGGTTTTTGTCCTTTCTGCTCCAATGAGAAAGGTGGCAGTGAATAGCTGAGTATGAACAGTGCTGGCAAATCCATTGAACAACCTGGGTGTCAGCATCCTAAACACCATGTGATGAACCTGCAAAGGATTCAGAGAGGACACACCTGCCCGACACCACCAAGATTTAAACTGCTGAATATGTTTAGCTTAATAAAAGGGCCTTCGTGATAAAAAATCGTTATATAATCCAATGGAGAAGGTTAGAATGAGAAGCAAAAGTCAGAGAGATGCAAATTAGACATAAGGCATCTGTTTTTAACAGTAAGATGATTATTCATTGGAACTAATGACCAGGGAAGATACAAAAGCATCTGTGTAGGTGTCTTCACATCAAGGTGGATGCCTTATCCTTCAGCTAGATTTCCTTTACAGCAGTCAGTATAGGGTCAGTCTAGCATAATGGTACAAATTTTTATTGTGAATGCAATTTTTATTTCGTAGTTCTGCCATTTCAATTGTGGTGGACCTGAAGCTTAATTTGTACACATTTTCAAGGCTTCCAAGAATTATTGTGATAGGGTCTTGCTTTCAACAGAATCATATAAAAAATTAAACACTGTATCATTTTTTTCAATGCAGCTTTACAGCAAGATACCTTTTAGCATTTTCACGGCAACTATTCTGCATGTTGGTGATTTCCGAATTCCAAAAGCAGATGCTTGTACCACCTTTCCAAAAGCTCCGTGTCCAAGAGACTTTCCTGCAAAGAAAACAAAGCGGAGAGATACATTCTGGTAAAAAAGAAATTGTCAACAAATGGCTTCATAGATCATAAATTAAAAAATGTACTTTACAATGAGTCTCATAGGTATATTTCCGACATATAGGTGGTTTAGGTTTTTTGGTTTGTTGATTTTTTTTAAGAGAAAGCAGACAAACTAGAAGACAGAGTCATTGGAGGAAGCAAATGATATGATTGAAAATGTCAGTAAATGAATACAGTGGAGATACACTGGCTTCTGACCCAATTTTTTCAGTCTAGCTCTGCCAGGAAAAGATTTTGCTTCTCTTTTCCCTGAGCACACTGCACCATGCAACAGGCTGTGGTGCTGCTAGTTACGTCCTCAATAACACAGGGCCTCCACCTAAACTCTCAGACAAATTAAGATGCAGCTTGCCACAGACCTTGGTCATTTTTACAAATTAAAATTTTCCTTCTCAAACAAGATGCCTTAAAATTATCTTCATTCCAAGGAGGCAGCAGCAACTTTGCATTGTGATATCAGGAGTACAGGCACAACCCTCTCATGCTCTTCCCTACCAAGCCATAGATAATAGGTTGAGATAACGGAGTGGTGAGAAGCTGCACGTTTGTGCAAATGAGATCTTTACATCTGCAAAACGAGATCTGGGGGATTTAGTGAGAAGAGGCTTGGAGAGACAAATGTCATGTTTGCTCATGGTGAGTAGTGTCCAAGGGCAGAAATTTGTGCTGTATTACCATCATCATGCTCCTATTGAGTAGACCCCAGGAGAAGCACTCAGAGGTCCTCGAGATAAATCAGTGGACATCAATAAAATTCCCTAGCAGTGGAAGGTAAGTGTCCTCTTCCTTCATGTTCAGAACCAGGTAACGCTCCAAGTTATAACTTTTCTAAAGTTCATGATATTTTATGCCAGTTTCATGATCTTCACCACCTCCTTCATGATTTATTAGCATTTGAAGCAGGGAGTATTGACTACTTCTTTGATGCTGTGTTCACATTGGCAGGTCTGGCTGCCTCTCCCCTTCTAAAGAGGCTGTCAAAGTCTTGGTCAGAGAGATCTTGTCAGCACATCAGCAATAAGTTTTATTTCCAAGTAACTCTTCACAGATTGAATTTGTGCTTCATCTCAGCAGAACCCAGGCACCAAAGTGCCTAGCAGTAGGCTTTATGATGTAGAGAAGAGAAGGAGAAAATAGTGGTCAGCTTTTCATATAAAGGCAAAGGATAACATGTGACATGACCACCTCCATAGGATAATTTCCTTTTCCTATATGGACACCTGTTTGGCTAGCTCTCACTTGGACATCTACCTTGTTGATGTCTAAGTGAGAGATGAATCCCACTTGGATACTTGCAAACAGAGAAAAAGGGCTGCTGTCAGTTCTGAATTAAATCAGTACTGCCTTTTATATGTGTATCATATATCTAAACTGTAATTCTCAGTATGTCTGTCAATAGAAGAAAATAGCGTATGTTATCAAAGCAATGTAAACATGAAGTGGAATATGCTAAGCCAAAAAACTCCAGGAATTTATGTTCACCCTAGGTATGCAAGTGTTGTATTTTTTTGCAGCAAGTAAAAACCATGAAGAACTTAATCTACATGATTAAAAGCATCAACAGACTGAACCTTGTTTTATGAAGGGCTTAGCATTTGACAGAGAAATACAGATGAATCAGTGTGTGTCTAAAAGTCTACCGTCACCTTTTTCAGTTACTGCCTATAGATTCTTCATTCGGCAGATGTATAAGTAAAGCTCTTAATCCTTAATGTTTTGGCTGTTCATGGTTTCTACAAGATGAACTTGCAGTTTCAAGTCCTACAAAACCCATCATACCTTTGTTTAATCCATAGCTTTAATCTGTTTCCATCACTGTTGAATCACTTCCCACATCGAGATAACCTACTTAGTCACCACTTGGAAAACATACCAGCTCATAAAGCTACACAAAGCTGCTAACCTTTCATAAAGGAGAATGAGCACTGGAAACAGCACTTCCTTCTCTAAACAGCAGCCGGATTCAATGGGAAACTGCAATAACACTTGTCTTTGTTGCTCTGCTATTGTTTGTACAGTGCTCAATGGTAGTACAGAATAGGGCTGCTTTAACTTTTCAGGGTGTGGCTCAAAACTCCACAGTTTAGTATGTAGATTGTGGCTATGGTTGTTCTTGCAAAAGTTCCTTTTGTTGTCACAAAAAGTAGCTACAAAATTATTGAACAGAGCAATTAAACAGGGGAATATTAAGTTGCCCAACCATCTGAGTAGTCAACTTCTCACAGCCTTCAAGCAGCTACACTGGATGTATTTGGGGTAATGCTCAGGTATGAAATGTTGCAGTATTTAGATCCAGACCAATGAAGCCAAATGCTCTACTTAAGTTTTCCACACTTGACTTGGATTTAATGGGCCACTCAGAACTCATTAAAGTGAACATGCCCCTCAGTCAAGGAGTTTTGGATCAGGAAGTTTCCATTTCAGTCCCATTTTAGCAAGGTCCTTCAAGCATGTGAGTTGCTGGACTGGGGCATCAGCAAAAAGTACTTGCAGACACCAAACTCCATGTCTGTGGGAAGGCACAGGCTCAAAGGTGTGTTTGTTTCTCAGGTTCTTTGCCACAGTTTGAGTGATCTGGGTTTTCCCCATATGTGGCATCATATTTTCCATTCTGCTACACAGGACAGTTGTCACGTGAAGGAGAGCGGAAAGCTCTGTGCTCGGTGCCAGCACTGTGAGCTTGCATTGCACAGGAGGGACTGGGGCTCAGGAAGCCATCCACCATCAGTGTGTTTGACATTGCACTGCAGCCATGAGGCAAAACTCCCTCGGGGTCCTGCATCACAGCATTAGCTGTGTGTGACCTCTCATAGATTAGGAAGGTCAAGCCCAAGAGTGAGGTGGGAAGTGCACAATAGCTCAGCTAAAGCTTGTGCTGGACTGCAATGTTATCACCAACCACAGTGTCAGTGATTTATAGCACCAACATTTTTTCCACTAATGAAAAGATGACATTTTGCTCTCAGTGAGGGTAATCTCTACTGAATGTTAATTACCCTGATTAACGGGCAGTGATGCCCGTATGAAATTTCCTATAACGTCCATTCCTCTTACAGATGAAGGGGGAGTGCTGTTATATAAGCATTGCATCACAGTCCTGGGTTGTGTGTACGTGTGTTGGAGGAACACACAGCAGAGGAGATGTGGGCTGAAAGGAGAAACTTATTTGCAAAAATTATAATAAATATGTGTCCTGGAGGACAAGTAGGTGGGAAAGAAAAACATGATGCTGAAAGGGGTTGCATTTCTAAGTAAAAATATTTTTTAAAAACCATAGAAGCACATTTTGTGTTTGTGAGACACTAATCCTCAGAGACTGCCAAGGTTGCTCAAAGACTGAGCCAACTGTCATGTAAGCAGGACTTGCACTGAGCTAATCTAGCACACAGCACACAGAACTTCTCCAAATCTGGTTCTCATTCATTGTCAGCATTCTTTAATTGTTTATACCAGTTCTTCCACTTTTAACTCATTCTCTGGTCATCATTCCTCATCTCTGGACTCTGAACACCAACCCTGCAAGACATGGGGTTTTCCTTGGTGTTTACATTCCTTTTCTGCTTGTTTCTTTCCCAGTGGTCACATTGTCTGCACATCAGGCTCTTGGTCCATCGTTGTAAGAAAACTGTCTAAAGATTGAAGACACTCCAGCACAAGGTTTCAGCATTCTCAGAATTGTGTATGACAATAATAAATTGTGAGCAATATATTTCAGCTGTACTTATCCACATCTGGTCAGCTTGTGTCTTCTGGCAGGCAAATTAAGTGTGATCCTAATTATATGCATGTGTTAATCACCCTCTGTCCCTGATACCCAGAAGGCAGAAGGAATTTGTTGCAGCTCCTAACTAAAAGACAAGAATTTTCTAGATCTTGCTGCAGGACAAATGTAATGCATGCCTGAAAGAACAAACAGCACTATAACAACGAGGCTGAGCTTATAATTGATATTTTAATGTTGACCTTTTTGTTAAAATCTGTGTGGTTTCTGGAGGGAATCCTCAGCTTCAAAATATGGTCCCGACCTGCCTTTCCTCCTCATCAGCCCCACTCTAGGCTAAAAAAATAAGGAATGCTCCCAAGCCCATGCCTTTCACTGGGATAGGTGAGCTAACTGTAGGTTTAAAGTTTCCAAGGACATTTATTTATTTATGCATGGATTTATGTGTCACCACATTCCTACACTTTATGGTGCACTCACAAGAATGTTTATAAAACTGCAGCACAGAGGGAAAACAAGGAGATTGTGCTGGAGAGGAGGAAAGGGAGAAACAGGGATGAATTATGAGGACCCATTCCTGTACTGGCTTTTTTCCAAATGAATATGTAACCATGTTATGAGGGAAGAAAATCATAGAATCATAGAATATCCTGAATTGGAAGGGACCCACAAAAAACATTCTTGTGGATGAACCTGGCCCTGCACAGGACTATCTCAAGAATCACACAATGTGCATGACAGCATTGTTCAAATACCTCTTGGACTCTTTCAGGTTTGGTGCTGTGACCACTTCACTGAGGAGCCTGTTCCAGTGCCCAGCCACCCTCTGGGTGAAGAACCTTTTTCTAATACCCAGCCTAAACCTCCCTTGACAGAATTTCAGGCCATTCCCTCAGATTCTGTCACTGGTCACCACAGAGAAGAGATCAGTGCCTGCTCCTCCTCCTCCCCTCACGAGGAAGTTGTAGACTGCAATGAAGTCACCCCTCAGTCTCCTCTTCTCCAGGCTGAACAGATAAAGTGATCTCAGCCACTCCTCATACAGCTTCCCCTCTAGAGCCTTCACCGTAATTACAACGAATCACCAGAATTACAGTAAATGCCAAAGGTCAGATTCCTGGAGTCTAGAGAGAGAAGCATCCAAGTTGGCAGTCTGTTTTGGAATCCTTTGGTTGCCCTGGTTTTGTCATGTTTTAAGTAAATCAGTCTGCAAAATACAGAGTGCAGCATTCTTGTCTGTATTCTCCTTCTATGGCCAGGTGGCCAACTCAGTGGTGAGGGAAAGACTGTGGGTGTTGTCTATCTGGATCTTAGTAAAGTCTTTGTCACTGTCTCCCACAGCATTCTCCTGGAGAAACTGGCTTCCCATGGCATGAACAGGTAGACTATTCACTGGGTAAAAATCTGTCTGGATTGCTGGGGCCAGAGCACAGTGGTGAAAGGAGTTACATTCCAGCTGGTGGTCAGTCACTAGTGGTGTTCCCCGGGGCTCAGTACTGGGGCCAGCCCTGTTCAATATCTTTATCAATAATCTGGGCAAGGGGATCAAGTGCACCTTCAGTGACTAGAGGAAATGGCCTCAAGTTGTGCATGGGCAGGTTGGACATTAGGAAACATTTCTTCACTAAAAGGGTGGTCAGGCATTGGAATAGACTGCCAAGGGAAGTGGTGGGCTTATCATCCCTGGAGGTACTGAAAAGATGTGTAGATGTGGCAATGAGGGACATGGTTTAGTGATTGATTTGGCAGTGCTGAGTTAATGATTGTACTTCATCTTAAAGGTCTTTTCCAACATAAAAGATTCTGTGATTCTATTTAATTCTCCTACCTGGAGACAAAATATATATGTGAAAAGCCAGGTAGACACAGTCAGTCAGTCCTAAACGCTGAAGTTCATTCACAGACCAGGGGCCCTCAGTATGGAACAGATCACACCTAACCTGGCAGTATGTTGTGCTGCATGTCTAGAACACACCCAGCTCCTCTTTATCTGTGGTTACAGATAATCTTACTCAATCACTGCAAACTCAACATGAAGTATGCCAATATTACCTAGTTTAAGTCTTTCCCTTGCAATTTCCCACTTGCTGGCATCGTAAGGCAGACGTTCACATTGCTCATCTAAGGGAACTTCATCAGGATCCATTATGATTGACAGGTAATGGTTGGTCTTCATTTCAGAGGAATAAGGCTAGAAAACAAATATTGCAAAATTAAATAGAGTATAAGGGTATCTGTTAGCATATTCTTGTTTAGATCAAGGGCTCCAAGTACATTCTGTTCACAGGGCTGTGTGTTTCACAGCAAAATAGATGGTTTGGTTAAGCTGATTTGGTTATTCTACATATTGCAAGACTTTTTGTATAGAAGAAACTCCTTCCTCTAGCTTTCCTTCTATGTGACATACCAGTTTTTTCAATGAAATCCATATGGATCTGTATTAACATATGGTGTTATGACACAGGGCCCTCTGCACATTCAAGAGAAATGTTTTCATCAAGTGACTAAACATTGCAGATAAAAATAACTTTTCTTCATGATTGTGCAAAGCAAGAAGTGGCCACATGCAACAGATGGTGTTCAACTGCCAGTGTTTATTTTTTCCATACACCCGGCAAAGATAGGTCATATGTGGTTAGAAGTTGTGCAAGACTAATCATCAGGAGACTAGGTATTATACACTTCAGAAACTGCTTACAAATTTTCACAATTTTTTTATTTCTTTGGTATCATTGCTGAGAAATTTATGCAAATTATTAGAGCTTGAAGGAATTTATAAACAGCCAGACTCAAAGACATAATTTAAAACATATAATTTCAAAAGAAATAGCCAGTGCAGTTTCTACTGAGCAAATGGAGTATCCATTTCACATGAGAAATGTAAGGAAAGATGAATCTGATCTCAAAGTTTTCTGCAGTTCATCCATTTTGAAATATATTTTCCTTCAAAGAGCATCTAGATTGCCATTCTAATTCACTGGACTTCTCTTGACACAGGAGTACTTATATTTCGATAGAAAAGGTCTAGTGTTTGCCATAATTTACTGCCTATTAGTTGGAATTTATTGGAAATCTCCTGAACTAAACCTCAACATGTTGCTTTTCCTAAACTTGTGGAAGTAGCACACGGGTGCAGGCACAAACATACAGATATATCCATATACTGTTTTTTTTAATTTCCTTTAATTGTCTCCTGTGACTTTCAGATTTCTTCCTCTACAGATTGGAAAAATGTTCCTGATACCTGCATTTCCAGGCATTTTTGAGAAGGATATTACTGGCTGTGCATGCCTTGATTACAGGCACAACTGGACTAAACTGACAGTAACTAATAGCTGCTCGTTTAGTTGCTTTTCACCATACCAAAGAACTATAAAGTTAGTCCCAAGAAAGATTGTCGTAATGCTTGGAGAAAACTGAGGAGGCATAAAGCTTGGATCCAAACCATCCACTAACACTGGACAGGACATGGATAAGTGGGATATGGGTAGAAACAGAAACCTGTGTGATGTTCCAAAAAGGGCGTTTCTAGATAGAGATGTGTGTACCAGACTGCTCCTACCAGTCACATAGAAGAGCTTTTAAGTGTATTTATCCCAGAAAAAGCAATAGGGGAGTGGAAAAGTTCAGACAGCTTCCTACAATTCTTCCTTCAGATGCACCGAATACCAAATTTTTGGCACAACTAGAGACTTGAAGTACATTTTCAATGATGAGGAATTGTTGAGGATATTGTCTTTCTCTGTATGCATAACAGATAGGCTTCAAGAAAATGCTCTCAGAGAAGATGTATTTCTTTTCTGTTGCAGCAACATAATTTCTATATAAAGTTTAACTTAAAGCTAATTCCAGACATAAATCCTTGAGAGTAAGGGTTTATAAGAGAAACACAGAGATGACCACAAACATAGACCAACACTAGCTGGAAAGGCTCATCTGGAAAGGAGCCTTCATATGTCATCTAGTTAAAGTTCCTTGTTCTACAGCAATGATAATTATTTTTATTATCTTTTAACAATTTAAAAAGTTTTGGTTTCACAAAAAAAATATTAAAAAAAATAATCTGCAACCCTTTGCTACATTTAAAACTAAAATTTTTCCAAGAGTTTGCAGTCATGTTACAAATTGCTTCATCGTTACTGGTGAGCATTCAGTACTAGTCCCCCTTGCCTTGTAATTTCGCTTACAGCTATGAAGTTTCTCCACAACTTCAGCTGACTTCTGCTTTTCTTTCTCAGCAAACTCCCGTGCGTCTCTCCTTACTGAAGTTTGTGGCAATAAGAATACAGGCAGAGTGACTGCTGCCATGCCACCCTGGTTCAGAGGTCCATCAGGCTGCACCAACCTTTAGCAATCATCACTCAGCCATGTGGGATATGCTCCACTGTGGCGGCTGTGAGCCGATTCCTGTGGTGTCACGCTGTGATACCTCTTGGGCTGGGAGTGCTCAGTGGCCCAGTGGAGTGGGAGTGGGGAGAGGGGGGCATGCAACCATTTCTCATCTCATGTCTTGCAGTGCACCCCATTGCCCCAATACTGCTGTTCCCTCAAACCCATCTTCTCCTGTAAGTTACCCTGAGATCTTTCTGAGCTACTGAGTTGTATTTTCTGCTTATGAAAGCTGCTGTGGTTTAACCTGCCCACATCACACAAAGCAGGCATGGTGCTGTCAGCAAAAAGGGGCTTCAAGCCATCACAATCAGCCTTGGAAAAGAAGGAGGGTCAGATGCAGGGGCAGTTAACTTTATCACACTGATACAGGATCATCTCTCTAGAGGCTGCACCATCAAAACTGCTTCAGTAAAATATCACTTCGGAAGTGATGTAACTATACCTGACACTGTGCAAACCAGACCCCAGCACTATCTGTGAAGATATGTCATTCCCACTCAATCAGATCTTCAAAGACATTAAGATGCCAAAGTCCCACAGCTCTTGTAAGGGAATGGGGATGCCTTTGGTGGGAGTCAGGTACACGGATTCTTGTGACCCTCAGAGCCTTGTCCCCACCCAGACTTTGCTTCCTGGCTTACTCATACTCAGCCTTGCAAGTCACAGTTCCCCAGCAACCACAAGCAGGCTGGTGATTGCACCAGGAGCAAAGGTGAGTGGTATTACAGAATCAGAGAATATTTTGAGTTTGAAGGGACCCACTAGGGTCATCAAAGTCCAACTCCTGGACTTGCACAGGACAACCCCAAGAGTCACACCATGAGCCTGAGAGCATTGTCAAAATGCTTCTTGAACTCTGGCAGGCTTGGTGCTGTGAAAGTGGTGGTGCTGCAGTAAGTGAAATGGAATTTTTTTTTGGGTAAACTCAGAAATTCCATTGGCCTGGGAAAGATTTTCTAACATGATGTAGTGGTTTGAACCAGGTTTTCCCCCTGAAACTAAGAAAGTGGTAACCCCCAGGGGGTGGTGACCCTTGGGGTTTGACCCAATCAGTGCTCCTGCAAAATATAAACATATCTCTCTGGACCGGAAAAGAAGATGTGGTTCTTGTTGGAGTGGTGGCCATGTTGTGAACACCACGAGGAAGGGGCTCAGGGCCCCTTGGGGGCTTTGCCCCCCCCAGCCCCTGGCTGGGGGGCTATGGGGACTTGGAACGGTGTTGAACTGGGCTAAGTGCCTGTGGCTGAGAAGCCGAAGGAGTTTTCTCCACTGTGAGTGGGCAGACAGAGCAGCAGTAGACACAGCAGCATCCGGGAGCAGTGGCAAAGAGCCAAGCAGATAAGAAGAAAGCAGCAGAGATGCTGAGCAAGAAGAATACAGAGATCTCTGATGGAGAGAGACAGAGACAGAGTTTCGGGGTAAGAACTGGACAACCCAAACTCCCCAAACTCACTGGAGACTCCTCTGAGAGAGAGGAGGATGATTGGAGTGACTTGAAAGAGTCTCGGAGTGCAGTATGCACTGAGAGAGGAGCAAGAAGCTCAGGCCCTCCTGAGAGCAAAGCCAGGACGGCCGAAGGAATGTGTGCGTGGGGTGACCTTGGGCCCCCCCCTTGCTGCAGCTTCAGAGAAGCTGGCAGCCATCTTGAGACAGAGCACAGAAGCTCTGTGAAGGGGCTTGAATTCCCCTGAGGATACCAGACCGTCACGAAGTGCTTCACTTCGTTGATATGACCATGGTGTAGCAACCTTGTCTGGGGTACCGCAGCCCACGGAAAGACCCCTTGTTTGGAGACGAGGGGCCGAGAGAGGCTTGGAGGCCTCCCTCGTGTGTGCTGGCAGAGAGCCAGCAACTGCTGCCTGGAAGAGAAGAAGAGACACTGCTGCCCTAGAGAGACCTGCTGCTGAGAGACTGGAAGGGGTCTTTTCTTCTTCTTCTCTCCTGGACTTTTTATTTGGAGGGAGAAGAGATTTGGCCCATTGTAAATATTACTGTCATGGTAGAGATAGAGTTAAGATTGTTTGTAATGTATTATACTATTTATTTGATGTATAGTCCTGTAATATATTCCTTTCCCCCTATATTGAGTCTTGTGTTTTTGTCTGGAAACCCATCTCACACGGGGTTGAGATGTGGGAGGGGGGCTAGGAATCAGGAACTGGATTTTGAGGCTGTTCAAACCATGACACATGAGCAAAGGGCTGTCAAGGAGAGGCAGGTGTCACCAGGAGATCCCCATCTGTTCTTACCCTCTTCAGCTTGCGAATGAAGAGGGTCAACAGGAGCCAGAACAGTGTCGCAGCCACACAGGTAGAGGTCAGGGTTATCAGCTCCAGGTTTGACCTCTCTGATATGCCTGGGAAAATCAAGCAGCAAACATTTTAGAAAATGACCTGCAAAGCAAGGGCACTTTATGTTTTTTTTGCCATTAAAATAAAATACCAGGAAGGACCAGCTTCTTTTCAATGGGGAATTAATCTCTGTTTGGACTGGATCACAGAGCCAAAAAAAAGGTCTCCTGCAGTCTCAGGAGAGGACAGGGCTGCACAGAGGGGATGGCTCTGCTGGCCCTTTCCCAGGGGCAGTACTGTGGTGTTAGAGCTGCTGATAACACACAGGAGAAACTCCAGGGAGGGCTTGTGTTGGTGTAGGCACCAGTGAATCCAAGTGTAACCCAGGGCATGCTGCAGTGCTGCTGCTTGGAGTTTGCTGTCCAGGACATGATGCCTTTCCTTGAGCACTGCTCAGAGAGCTCTTCCCTGCTGATGGCTGAGCCCTGCAGCCCACACCTCCTTCCCAGCTGTGCTGGAAACCCACCAGCCCTCAGCAAAACGCTCACTGGGATAAAGCTGGGAGTTCTTTTGGAGGCTTGTGATGCTGCCAGCAGGAGTCCACGAGCTCTTCTTCCCATGGCCTGGATAGATCTCATCTGGCATCTGGAAGATCAGCTCATACAAAGCATGGCACAGGGGCCCATTTCCACAGGTCAGAAACCTAGGACATATGGCCCAGCGCTTCCTTCAACCCACTGGTCCCCCAGTGGTCTCTGTGCCCTCAGTTCTCCTGCTAGCAACACAGGGCCAGGCTCCTTGAGGGGACACGGGGCCCTCTCCTTTCCCAACAGCACCCCACAGAACCCAACAGGCAGGGAGCTGGGAGAGCTCTCCAAACCAGGGAACAAATTAAGCACAGAAAGGGAAAAACAAAACCAACAATGACTGAAAACAGAGCAGCAAGAAAACATGAACATTAAAAATCTGGAGAGTATTAGAGCCCACTGACAGATCTTAGAAAAAGCCAAAATAAAACTCACTTCAGACTGCTATTTAGGGATGTGTAAAATAGTTTCAGAGCAGTCTGTTTTGTAAATTCTCTGATCAAGTCAAAATCCCACACTTCCCACAGTATGTTTTCCATCTGATTGGTAGCAAATGCAAGAAGAACCCTCATATTCTGCCTCTTATTTTGAAACACCCTCTAGAGAGGGGAAATGAGAGGATGAGGAGGAGTAATTCTGAACATGATTTCACAGTAGTTTTGTCAACTGCTTTTGCATACTTTAAGAGCCCAGTAGCTTGGTGTTACTCCTGACACATGAAAAAGGGATGATTGATGTCTCACTGGTGGGCTTATGGGGTAATCCAGAGGGATGTGTTGCCTGGTTTTAGGCAAGGCTAGAGAGCTTTGTTCAGAGCGTATGAGCATATTACCTAATTAGCATACTGTCTTCCCTCCCTAAAGGTGATAATCAGATTTGTATTCATGCCCCATATCTAAGATTGCTCTGGTATGTCCATTCTGGAGCTGTGAGAATAAAGCTCGTTGAGGAAAAATACAACTGCAACTACAAATGAAGATATAAAGTATCTATTCTCCAAGAGTGCTATTTTTTCACAAGCATTTGTGTAAGTACTTGATTTAGACATGGAACATAGTGATGGCATAAATAATACAGCCTAATGCAGCTTGCTTATTCTCTGGCATCAGCATTTCCTTTTACATATGGGCACTGTCCTCTTGCTTCTGAGCAGCACACATGCAGATGGTGAATAATAATTTCTGACATTTATTCAGCAAAACCTGGAGGGGCTGAAGTTCATTTTTTGCCACTGCTCCATATGGCAGGACACAGAAAACAGAACACTTGAGGCATGACGGTGCTGCCATACTACAGTATGCTGCCCAGGAGTTAGCAAAGAGACACAAAGGTGCTGTCTTTGAAATGTTCAAGCAAATGTAGAAAACTAGAAAAAATTTCCCAAGCCAGGGTTGGGCTGAGTTATCAAGTGCCAGATTCCTAGTCTTGCTAAAGCTTGAAGCCAGAGCTCTCACGTGGGTAGGAGAAGGTTTGATTTGAGGCAGAACAGACAGAAACACTCAGAAGAGATCTTAGGATTAGCAGAGTTTGGAGAGCCTGTAGGTAGGACTAAATCCCCCTCTCTGCCTACCAGCCCAAGATTTCTGGCTTCCCCTTACACCTCCCTGCCAAATATTTACTCAACAGCCACCTCATCAAAGACTCCCTCGTGTGAAGCTCTGTCCCATCTGCCTGACACATTGCCACAAGCAGCAGCCCCCTTCCTGCCCCAGAGCCCCTCTGAAAGCCCTCCCACACTATACCATGTCTCTGCAGTGCTGCAGAGGGGTCAGGAGGGTGAAAAAGTGCAACCAGCAGCAGCTTCTCTCTCTCAGTAGTAACAGAAGCCATCAGAACTGTGCAAGTATGCCAGGATGAGAGCCTGGATTAATGTGACAATCTCTCCAGCTACAAGCTCAAGCCTTTGGCTGGCATGGACTTGCTCATTAGGATTTCAGCTCTAAACACCTAAACATTAAGGTGCGGGGAAAAATAATGCCTGGGGCAACAACACTACTCTGCTGCACCCAAAACATCCCTGACCCTTACCCTAATGGGACCTACCCTGTTTAATCTGTGTGATCCCACAATCACAGCAGTGCAACAGTGGGATGGGTGCTCAGAGTTGCTGAGGAATTTCCATCCTTGGAGGTAGTCATAACCTAGCCAGACAAAGCAATCACTGACTGCGTGTACTGTTGGTGATAACCCTAGTTTAAACTGAGGTTGAACTAGAGAATGTCAGAACTCCTTTACACCCCACTTTGGTGGACTTCTGAGGTAACACGAGTCTAAGTGTTCGCCTTTACTCTTGCAGACATAAGACATAACCCAGGCTGAACTTCACTTAATAGCTGAAGGAATTCCAGTTAAACTTCATGGAGAAGTTCCTGATGACTTCAGTGACCCAAAAGGCACAACACCTTTTTGATATACAAAGTCAGAGAGGTTAGGTAGGTAGGTAGGGAGGTAGGTAGGTAGATCGATGAATGGGTAGATAGATAGAGAAATAGATAGATAGATAGATAGATAGATAGATAGATAGATAGATAGATAGATAGATAGATAGATAGAAAGACAGATAGATGATAGAAAAAGTTATTTTTAAAAACTTAATGAAATAAAAGTTATTTAAAAGGCAACACACCATTTTCATAGTGTCAGAATAGCCCAGTGAATACTTAATAAGTGCGACACTTTCCTTTCCAACAGCAGGGTTCACATTAAGTTATCAAACATCACCTTTAAGACAGGACACATTGCTGTATTCATTTGCTTGTTATACATTCATATTTCAGCAAGCATGAGCGCAAAGGATGCTCCTTCCTTTTTCAGCCCCTCCACTTCAGGATGCAGCACCTCTGCAACTAGCTGTATTCCTGGCTCCTGCTGACAGGGAGTGTGAGGGCCATCCTTAGGAGAAGCAGGGCAAGGCTTTCATGGCAAGTCCTCCACTCTGTAAGCAGGTGACCCCCTAAAGAAAGCTGCCCAAGAGTCTGTGTCCCCCATGTGCTAAGCAGCATGTGTCCCCAGGCTTTTAGGTATACAGTGTCCTCCATCTGCTGGGTGCTCTGGCAGCTATTTGCTGTTTCTGTTCTGTCCTTGCATATTTGCTGCCTCTTTGGTTCCTCAGCCAGGAGCAAGAGGAGAGCTTGCTCTGACATGCCCACAAACATGGCCCCTCTTTTACTTAGACCGCCCAGCAACTCCTGCTTCCAAACTAAACACAGGCTGTGATTATTTAAAGACGGTCCTTTGATTCCACCATCCATTCATCCATCTCGGATACAAAAATAACACATTGTTTTATCTGTGAGTATAAGAATTTTTTTCAGAGGAAATAAAGAGAGCAGACAGTTTCCTTCCTGACTCATTCACAACTCTTCCAATCTGCTAAACATGGCCATTGACATGAGGTACTGCTCCACTCTCTTTGATCTGTGGCCCCATGTTCTGAGAGCCACTGGCATGGAGGGAAGGCTTTGGTGCTCACAGAGGCAGGCACAGGGCCTGTGTTTCTAAGAAACACAAAGAAAGTGGCAAAGCCTAGATCTTGCCTCTCCAGGCTTAGGGATGAGGTGAGAGGCTGCCATTCCCTGGGAGAGGGACAGGCACTCCAGACCAGTGTAGGAATGAGTGAAAAAACCTCCAGTGAATTCCCTTCTTGTAGTAGGAAAAGGGTGGAAAGGCATTTTCCTTTATCATAGTAGGTAAGACGAACTGTCTCTCTTTTTAATGTCCAGTCTCAAAGCCATAAATTTTAGTACAGTAGTCTTCATCTCCTGCTCCCACAGGAGTCATACAAGGACATGGCCAGTGGTCCGTCAGGACATGTAACCAGAGAAGAAGCTTTCTTGGCTACTTTCTTTTCTCTCTTCTGGAGTAGGAGATATGATTTCCTAGATGCCATGTGACAGAATGCTTGTGGTTGTCATAAATAGACAAGCTGCAATGATGTTAAAAATCAATATGATAATGAATGACCTAGTCCAGGACTATCAACTAGTAGGATGAATTGGACAGCAAGTTACTCTTTTAGCTATTACAACAGCCTTAAAATCCTTAGTGTTATCAAGGCACCTCGGGGAAGTAATTCTGCCTTTCGACTCCACTCTCGTGAGACCCCATCTGGAGTGCTGCATCCAGCTCTGGGGTGTCCAACATAAAATGATGTGGACCTGTTGGAGTCAGTCCAGAGGAGGCTACAAAGACGATCACAGGGCTGAAGCACCTTTCCTATAAAGACAGGCTGAGAGAGCTGGGTTTGTTCATCCTGAAGAGGAGAAGGCTGTGGGGAAACCTTATAGCACCTTCCAGTACTTAAAAGGGGGCTACAGGAGACCTGGAGAGGAACTTTTTCCCAGGGCATGGAGTAATAGGACAAGGAAGAATGATTTCACACTGAAAGAGGGTAGGTTTAGATTAAGTATCAGGAATAAATTCTTTACTGTGAGGGTGGCAAGGCACTGGCACATGTTGTCCAGGGAAGTTGTGATTGCCCCATCCTTGTCAGTGTTCAAGGTCAGATTGGATGGGTCTTTGAGCAACCTGGTCTAGTGGAAGGTGTCCCTGCCTTGGAACTAGAGGTTATTTAAGGTTTCTTCAACCATTCTATGATTCTATAATTATTCATAAGGAGATAGGCATTTTTAACTCCTTTATTTCACCAGTTAGGTCAGCCCATGTAAATATACTTATCCCTGACATTTTAAAGCAAAGACATTATTGTATCATCACCATTAACTCAGACTGATAACACACTCATAGCAAAAAATCAATACTGATTTAGTAGCTGTAATTGTCTTGTGCTGTAGGGTAATATCCAAATACTAAATAGTATTCAGATACATTCAGCAATTGTGTAAGAACATCCACAAACACATAATCCCTGCCTAAGACACCTGGTGATACTCAAATTGTCTTCTATAAAGAGAAAGTAAATGCATTTAGGACTCTTTACTTAACACGTGAGGTCAGTAGAATAGATTATGTCAAATTTAATTCATACATGGCACTGACTTATATGGAGAATGTCAATCTACTTCTCTTATCTCATAATTTATGAGCCAAAAGGGTATTTAATGAAATCAAAAGGTCACTGAATAAAATTTATTTTTATGCAGTGTAAAATTAATTAATAGAAGTCACTGCCACCAGCATGGGTCAAGATTGTCAGAAGGCAGAACAATGCTGGACTTTTAAACGAGTAGAAAACTATCTCAAGTAATGGTTACAGAAATAACTAGGTCATACCCACTTCTTTGTAGTAGCACCTTCGCATATGTAGCTGTCGCTAGGGTATAATCTTCTAGTCTTATTTGGCAGTTCACTTTACATTGAAAATAAACAAATGAGAATATCCTAGGCCACTAATTTCTATGGAATTAACCTGAAATGGGAAATGTGTGGGTAGGAGAGAGTTTCTTACTCTGTTTTTTGTTTATTTTGCTGATACTAAATTTACATTTATCATCTACCCTGACCTGATCTTTGTTGGGTTGAAGCAATTCTTCTTTTTAGGTCAGTGTAAACACACTCTGAGTTAGCATTTCCTGCTAGGCTTCCTTTCCAACCTGGTACGCTTCCCTTGCTAGGGCTTCCTTCAGACTGCTGCCTTCAGAGATCACCAGATGAGTCTCAGGTCATACCCCTGCCCTTCCAGCCTGAGTAAGAACATCACCCTGGAAAGCTTGCACTTCCCATTTAATGTCATGCTTTACCTTGTACTGTGACATATGCCGCACTCTCCACGGAGCCTTTTAAGTTGGTGGCTATACACTGGTAAAGTCCTTCATCCTCCTCTTTTACTCTTTCAATAAACAGCATTCGGCTTCCGGGCCCTAAAATTATTCCTGTGAAATGAAATGTTTGCAATGAGAGGGAGCCAGGATATAAACAAAAACTGGCCCTTGTGTAATAATATCTGCTTTAAGTTCTTCTTAAAAGAAATATGAGCCACAGACTGAACAGCACAATGTTATCTGCAGAATAGCAAAACATACTTGGATGCTCTGTGAATGTTTTGGAAATCACTGTTTGCAAAGCACTTGGGTGAGTGAAAAAGCTCAGCCCAAGGAAATGATCTTGGAAGCGCTTGATACTGTCTGTGTTAAGCACTGTGCCTAGGCTTTCATCCAGGTGAATCCTTCAGCATGTCTCCAGCTTTTGGAAAATGAGTAGTCTGATTACTGCACTTACAGGCACAGGTTTGCCCCACCAGCAGTTCAAGCTTAGAGCACTTCCAAAAGATATCTAGACTGCCCCTATGGGCAACAGACTCGTCTCACATCTCACTTGCCCATGTGGCATGGAATGGTGGCCCCCTTCACAAAAGGACCCTGGATAGTGCATGGAGAGGTCCCATGCACTGTTTTAGGTGTACCCTAAAACACAGGAGTCACCTGAAGTTTCAACATCTTGTTTATTCAAGCTAGGTCAACCCAGAAGCCAGCCTGCACAATACTCCAAGAAGCAAGGAAGAGGCAGGGAGCAGATTTGGCCTCAGGACTGCCTGCTGCTGAGGCACCCTATAACCAGGAAATGCGCAGTCAAGTACACACTTGTGTTTGGCTCCATCATAACTACAGTCCAATCAAAATGTATTCCCACCATCTATTTCAGGCACCTAAGTAAAGTACTCTGACTTACCCTCTGGAGACATCTTTCTGGCTCCTAATTGTATGTGTTGTATTACACCCAAGTTAGACACATAACATTCATTTTAGAGTGTTATTAATGCACATTACAATTATGTGGTCACCACAAAGCTGCATGGAATCTGGCTCTAGATTAAGTTTAGTGCTTGGGCTGCAAGTCTGCACAGGCTTATAACTCACTTGGAGAAATCCTCAGACTTTTTTCCAGTTGTCTTTATTCATGCTATAGTAATTTCCAATAATGCAGGACAGAACCATAACCACAAACTTTCTAAAACATTATTATAGAAGACTATACTTATAACTCAAGTTAGTATGGACCAAAACTCCTTGAACATTTTTACTGAGCCTGTAAGACTAGCTCAATGTGTGCTTCTGATCCAAAAGTGTATGAATTCCCATGACAAAAGTTTTGCCTTTTCCTCCATCATTCATCTCCATCTGAAATCTCCAAGGAACACTTCCATGACTGTGGTGACAGCAGCTGGACATTTAGTCTTAGCTGATCTTTGAAGTCACATTCCAGTCACAGCAGTAAATATCTCCCAAAGTTTTCTTGTCACTAGAATATGCCACCTGGGAAACTGTTTCTTTCTGTTGCACGAGACCTGGTTTCCTCTGCTGCCAGTAGACATGTTTCAGTTTTGGACATCCCAGATATGGATTTAGTGTTGTAGATAGCTTGTGACTCAAGAACAGACTTTGAATGTCTTACCACAGACTTCTCCTGGTACTCCCATACACAACACAATACAAACAGATTAGTTTTCTCTTGCTTAGCTATCTTCTGACCAAGACACCCAATCCTTAGGCTCCCTCTATAGTAAATGGAGGGAAGTATATTTCTCTGGAGATGACTCTTATAAGATGAAATTTTTTTTCCACTGATTCCATAGATACTTGTTGTGTCTAGACCTTCAACCTGGCTCAGGTTTTGGACTGAGACAGAACAATCTGGAGTACCTGTGTGGCTGCCTGCCTGCCTGGAATACCTTGGCAAGATTTCTTCCTTGTGTCTGGGTACTAGTACCAATGACACTACAAATATCTACCTATGGCAGATAGGTTAATAAACAGCCTGTAAGTGGTAGGTGAGTACACAGAGCTCTCACCTGGTTCTTGCTGTATTTCCTCATGGTTTTTAAACCAGGATATCTGGGGCTCAGGGATACCACGAACCTGGCACTCCAACATGGCAGATTTACTGGCGTTCACTGTCTGATCCGTAAGCTGCTGCAGCAGGGCTGGTGCCTCTTGAGCTACAAGACAAAACAACACCTCTGTTTTACATTCTTATAACTATGGGGTTTTAATTATCTTCCCTACACTCATTTTACTGATGTTAGAGACTGCTATGGCTGTTCTACCAAGTTCATTGTTCATTGGTTTTGTTTACTCTTCCACTTTGCTCAAGAGTGTTGGGTGTGTACAGAGAACTCCCATTACTCGGCAGTAGCAGCTTATGATGACCCAGTGGAGACCCAATGATGACATCGTTCAAGAGATGTTCTCAGTTCCATTACCTACCACATTTATTTTTATCGAAAGCAATGAGTTCCTATGAAAGCTCAGTTTTTCACCATCAAAAGAAAAAACTGTGAACCAAAGATTTTAACAATTATCAGGACAACCTTGTAGCAGAGTATCTCGGTGTTGCTAATGGCACCATGCAGATCTGTACACCGTAATACCCATGAATGTGACTTTTATAATTTACTTAAAGAGTAGAGTTACAAATCATATTTGGTAAACTCAGTCAAAAACCAGAAGCTGTAAGCACAAAAGCATTGTCCCAAAGTCTTCATAAATTCTTCCACTTTTATGTTTCACATATTTGGCTGAATGTAACAAGGCCTGGCCAAACCACACCACAGCATTTGAGAAACACACTATGAACTTCATGTTAAAGTCATCCCTGAAAGAAGCAATCTCATCATAATTTCAACACTTTGCCACTCCTTCCCTCATCTCATACAGAGATGGAGGCAGTTCTGACAAAGGTCAAGATATTTGTGACTTTTATGCACATTATATGGTAACATTTTTCATTCACATTTGCAACTCTCATTAAACTCTTTTTGGTATTTTGGTCCATTGAAAGCAGTGACAGAGAATTCAAGGAGCTCCTGAGCAGTGTCACAGATGCAGATGCTCCGCAGATTCCCTCAAATTCCATGATTGTTTGCAACCTTTCCCTTCAAAGACACTGACAGGATCAGCAGTTTCTAACATGGTAAAACACACATTCCAAATATAAAATAAAACAAAGCAGAAACCAACTCTGCAAATATTTTCTTTTAAACTGCAACAGATACCAATACACCAACTTCAATATCAGCTGAATATCTGATATTCTGTGTTTGGAAGATTATTCTCTATCCTTACAGAAAAACTAAGCATCAGACATTTTCCATCTTCATAATGACTCTGTTACCAGTTGTGAATAAAAACTCTCCAGAAACCTTAAGCACCTGTGTACCACCAGCTTATGCAGTGTGCATGAGCCCCACAGCACTGAAAACACTTTTAAAGTAGGCTATCTTTGCCCCTTGAAACTAACTCCAGCGTAGTTATGGCCATAAAATGACTAGTTTGTGCTTTTCTGAGCTGCAAGCCAGTAATTTCCATAGGCATCGCTGTTTATTGTTTACAGCATAGTAGACAATTTGTTCTCTCTTCCCAAACAGTATTGCTTATGAGAGACGCTGTAAAGTAAATTCTTCATCACATACCCACACAATGACAAGTCAACTATATTTGACTTGCAGCCAAGAAGACTGCCCTCTTCTCATTGATACCTCATCTCGATTTTTGCACAGTTCTTATTTTTCACACTATGAACAGGTACAGTCTGATGCATGTCCATGTACACATGCTGAGAAGAACTCCATAGTTCACATTTATCAGCAGTCCCTGATAAGACACCCCATCCCACAAATCCAAAATGAAAGCAGACAAGATGACACAACAAAGGCAAATCACACATTCTGTGAGTTGTGATTAATTTTAATTTGTTTATAGCCATACACTAAAGATGGGTTTTCATATTAAGAAAAGTTTTTTGCTTAAAACTTAAGTCATCATTCACACACTTTCAGTAATTTGTCTGTTGCAATCAGCTGACTTTTCAAGGACTTGGTCAACCTGAGGATTATTCTCTTCTGTAAACCACCTGTTTTCTCCCATTCATTTTTGCCTTGAAGCCAAGGGGAGCAGTTTCCAATGTTCTACTCTGCTCACTCCAAAGCCGAGGGGCTACCCTGGCCACCAGCATGCACAGTGCAGGGCTCAGCACCCAGGGCAGCCCCCCGGACTTGACTCCAGCCTTCATGCTTGCCCGCAAATCCTGCCTTGCTGGGCCAAGCTCTGCTCTCAGCTACTCCAAGGAACTTCATCGTAGGCAGAGTTTGGCCCAGGGAAGTGGCAGGGGGGTTACAGAGGGGAGAAGGGGGCACTGTTGTCAAAGTACTCATCTGACCTGGAGTGGTAGAGTGGGAAAATTTGCATTTCCAAAAGCAAACAAGGGGAAAAAAATCACAATTTGTTAATTTTGGGGTTTACATTTGTATTACACCAATTTTTGCCCTTTGTTATGATTATGTTGTCTGTTCACTTATTTTTATTAATCAGTACAAAAATATAAATACAAGCTTTATTTTTAACACTTAAAAAAAAGAAATATAATTCACACCTTTCTCCCTAAATAATGTATTACACAACAAAAGGCAGAGAAAGTCCCCAAACCCATGAGATTCTCCAATCACCTGAGGATATCAAAAGTGACGTCAGTAGTTTTTATCTGGCCACCAAGAACTGCTTTTCTCAAACGTTTCCCGTGAGCGTTGTCTGAGCCTCCCAACACGGACAGCCATATCAGGATGTTATGACATCCTTACACAGTGTGGCCCTCTAAGTGCTGGTTGAGACTAGGCTAGTGGGATATCCATTAAGCAGTGATATACATCATTGCAATTCACAACAATTTCACAGAAGAACAGTCTAATCAACACATCTCTTTTTTTTTTGACCCAAATTTATATTGCCTGGCAACTGATTGCTACAAGTCATCATGCTCTGGCTCCCAAGGCCATGGAAAATTCGTAACGTCCTGTAATCACCACCCACCTTGCCATCAAACGTCTTCCCACAAAATACCCCAGGAAAAAGGGGGATTCTGTATTGTAATTCTTCTGAAGACTTGCAAATGCTAAAGAGTGCACTTGCTCCATATTTAAGCAGTCACCAATGACTTCACTTGCTTTTTAGGCATGTTCTAGGAAAAAAGAGAGCCTGATCCCTTTGCAAGAGCACATTGTTTCTGGAAGCCATGACACTAATAATGAACAAAAGAGTTACTGTATAGAAGCAGGCTATAGGTGCCATTTCAAGATATAAATGATTATTCTTTTCTTTACTCTGACAACTTCCAGGTTATCAATTGTTTTCTAAGCATTTTAGGCTCCATGAAACTGGCATTATGGGGAAATGCTATTGTTTACCCTTTCACACTTGACAAAAGCAATTCCCACGTGAAAGGCAAGTTTAGCCGTGGGACACAGTCTCTATACCTAAAGGAGGAAATAGTTGGGTGAGTTCCCAAGCACAACAAACTGTCATGTTGTCACCCTCTATTTTAAAAGCACAGCCACTTTGTTCCTTTGCTATTTTGGTCACTACGGTCTGTTTTGTTATGGCTTATGTAAATGCTATATAAATGATCGATCATAAATGTAACCAAAAATAAAAAGCTATGTATTGTAAAAAAATAAAGTTATCAGATCTATTAAAAATAGCAACTTCTTCCTTTTACAGAATTTATAATACACAGAAACATCCCACAGTAAAATCACGACAATGGAGAAAAAAAGGGAGAACACTCACAAGGAATTCTTAAGTTGCCCTTAATTCTCCTTCAGCAGTTTGGCCGGTTCTTAATCCCCATAATAAATCCAATTGTCATTTGCATACCAAAAGAGTATTTTTAATGGCTTCAATTTTGAACTTGTATTTTAAGAAATGTATTAACTCACTGTGCCAGTTGAAACCTTGACAGTCATGTTAGTGTAACATTCCTCATTTAATAAAATCATTACAACATATCAGTAGTTTTTTACATTAGTGCAGAACTGACTTTAAAAATTGACCAACACAGCAACTGGAAGTCTACCTGGATTTATTTGGAGAAACATGGTTCATGTCTGTCAGTTTTAAAATCATCATTATTATAAATGATATGATAGGTCTGTGCATTATATCAACATTTTTATTTCTTCCCTGCATACTTCTTTTAGAAGATACTTTTTAAGATTAATGTACTTTAGTGTAGAAAATAATTTCAAATAAATAAGCATTAGAACTTGCTCAGCAGGTAATATTTATAAGTCCATCAAGATCAGATTAAAATAAAAAATATATAGTCCAGTCAATCTCAAACTGAATTGTGCTCCTTCTGCACATTTAAGTTAGCTTATTAAATGTCCGTTGTTGACTGAAAACAGCAGTTTTTAAAATTAATCAGTTTATTCAGCTTTGACACTTTTGATGAGGCCGATATCAAAGCAGAAGAAAAGAGTGATCCAAAGTTTTCCTTATTGCTCAGTAGGAGACAGCAAGAGAAAAAATAATGACATGTAAAATGTAGCACAGGGCATCTTCCAAACCCCAGCTTCCACGTGCCTTGTCAAAGCAGAAAACACCCGTCTGAACTCAACTGGAAGCTCATGCATTAGGCTTTTGTTTGCTATTCCTCCTATATCCAAACCTTGGGGGAATGAGCACCACCTCAGGGCTTGAAAGGTAGCAACAGTAATAAGAAATCAAGATGATATGAGACACCTCTTACTGTTTAATGAGTCCTTTAATGTTTTACATTGCTTTGTGTTGTACAATCATTCCTTGTGCTTTTATATTTGAGGATCCGAGAGTAAACAGCCTTTTTGTTGCAGTGCTCACCTCTGATTGTAACGTCTTTCTTTTGAAGCACTTCTTTCCCCGTGTATATGTTCCTTGCTCGGCAGGCATAGGTGCCTGAGTGTGCCAGGGAAACATTTTTGATGGTCAGAGTGAGGGTGGTGGAATACTCCTTGTTGTGAGATCTTTTTGCTTTTGTTTGATTGTTGACTGTCCTCGGTAAAATCCAAGCAATGTCTTTGTACAGGAATTTGTTGGCTGAACAGGACAATACCAAATTCTCTCCTTCAATGGGCATTTTTTCCAAACTAATATGGAATCCGCGTGGTACATCTGTGAAAAATCAAGAACACTTTTCAATTTATATGAAGCGAATGAGACAAAATTAACACTGCATATATTTTCCCCTTTCTCGGGAAGTCTTTGAAATAATCAATGTCATTTTCTTCCTGCTCAAGTCTGTAATCTTTCCTTTCATATGCTAGGCTCCAGCTATTCTTATAATTTGTCTTGGAGCTGTGAGACACTTGGGCACAGACATCAGTTCGTGTAAACTGAAGTTGCTCTTGGAAGTAATGAGTTTGTATAAACGTTATGCCAAGTTAAGACAGACTGGGACAAGGTGCCAAAAGCAGAATTGTTTAAAGACAGCACGGTGGGACTCTGAAAAAGGAGGGAAATTCTGATCACAGCTCCAGCTTATGAACTGCATAAGAGAAAATGAATCCCAAGAGGGCAGTAGGAAAGTATTGCATTTCATCATGCTTGGTTATATTGTTTTCATATTATCCATAACTATTCAGATAAAGTGTGTCTATTTCTTAAAAATGCTTCAAGTTCTGAGAAATTACTGAACCTGTGATCACATGCCTGAGATTTCCCTTGGAACCGAGGTATTTACCCTCCCCACACTTAAAGTGTGCCAGACACAAGAGGAAAGCAGAAACAGTACCCTCTGGCCTGAGTGGCCAGCTGCGTGTGGGCAGCACTAGGATGAAGAGTACTTTGTTTAGGTGGCTTGGCATTAAACATAGGTGAAAAATATTTTCACCTGAGAGAAATCAAGGATCCATCTACTCAATGTAAATATGGCTTTAGTTTTCACCTCATAGCAGATAGTTCAGGCAGGAATAATTTAGCCAACAACTGGAAAAAGTCATACTGGAAAAAGTATGTGGTTTATTGTAGTGCTACTTGCAGCTTTCTTCACCTGGTGAGTGGCACAGAGCTGTGGCTGTGTCAGCTGCCTCCCAGCTGCCTCCACCTGGGGCTCATCCCTCCAGCAAGGCAGTTACATCACTGATCTCAGGGAAAGTAAAGCAAGTTCCTGAGAGAAAGCACTTCCAAGTTTTACTCCTAGAATGCAAACTTTCTTGGCTTATTTGTAGCCAATATTCTGATAAAGTAATTTCCTTCTTCTCGGTCAAGTGACATCGACTTTGGCCATTTTCAATTGTTCTTTCACTACTAATTGCTATGGCACTTGGCCGTAAACTTGACTTGAAATCCTAAGAATGGCTTCTTCTTTCATAAGGGAGAATTATGCCTTCTTTTATTGTTTCTTAGAGCGTGAACAGCTCAATGCTGACTTTCAATCAGCTCCATTCTTACCAATGTCGCTTTGGTTTAATGTCACTTCAGTAAAATGTAGATCTCAAGTGAATAATATCCCACACATTTTTTCACTAACCTCTTTCATTGATTCACCAATCCATCAGAAAGCTTGTCCCTAAATGCCCACATCACAAACTGAGCTGCCTTGCCTCCCAGGGGGACCATGAACATGACCTGCTCACTGCTGCCGTTCAAAGTTCTGCCTATTGAAAGCATCAGTTGCTCCCCATAATGTCCTCTTTTCCACACTTAGCCCTGAGTTTACACAGGGTAAGTGAGCTCCTGATAGTCCTGGATTGAAATTTCTTCTGACTGTAGATGCCTTCCAGAGAAAGACCTGATTTCTGATGGTTGAACTCATCATGCTCTTACAGTGGGAGTAAAGTGTGTGCCTGTCATCAGCTGTAGTTCAGGTGTGTAGTCTGAAGATCAATCAAATGGAGGCACTGGAACTAAAATATTGGATTGGGTATTAAAGCCTGTTGGTTGACTTGTTCCACTCACATTTCATTGGGATCCCCTTTTTTCTCTCTGCAGCAAACAAAGTTTTAAGAAAAACTTCAAATTTTGTGAACTCATCTATGACTGACTATCATCAGGATCCTTTTTGATATATTAGAGTACATGGTGCCAGATTCTAATCTCAGGAATATGTTGACTGGAAGTGCTACTAAGATGAAGCATTTCCATACATGGGGTACATCATATTTAGCCTTAGCTGCCAAATGTAGACATCTACTTGAATATGGTTGTTTTGTATATGGGCAAAAGTTTACAGCCCATGGAGTGACACAAGTTCCTCAGAGGGCCATGCAAACCACCACTCTAGGATGAGTCAAATTCCAGAGATCCTGGCCACTCACACTTAATTATGAAGAGATCCTACAAGACCAGCTTAGGCTTAGATACCTAACTTTGAGACTTAAATTAGATGAAGTGAATCCTATACTTAATTTTGTTAAAAAGCATTCAATTCAAATACGCTTAAAACCAATCAGGGGGCCAACATTTTGAATATAGGTAAGTATTTGGAAGAAAGAAATTACTGTGTCTTACTCACAGTACATCTCAAATTGTTCTGATGTGCATTGGAAAAGCCAGGGTATTGGTTAGAAATACTGGCAATTTTTTGCTTTTGAAGATGCCAGTACTCAGTAAAAGCTAAGAAGAGCCAAGCAAAACTCTTAAGATGAAACTAAAGGTCCCTGGGGACTGAGGCAAATGGACTATTTTTAATGTAAAAGGATAGCGTGCCAAAAGAATAATATAGTTACAACTACTTTCATGTTGTCAGGTCTGGAGCTCTTCCTCAGTGTGTCTTCTGTGAAGAAAGTCTATTTTCTGAACAAATCCAGGGACAAAAGCAAAATGCACAGGATTCCAAGAGAATCATTTGTTTAAAGGCTACAAGCCCCCTAATATATGACACCTCTCACCAATTGTTACAGGCTCAGGCTTGCTAAATAACGTGGCTGGGAATAATGTAAAAGGGTTTTATTTACTTTAGTGATTTGAAGCTTCCTGTGGAAATAGCTCCCAGGTTTCCTGATGGAAGATTTTGTTTATCTTTGCCAAGCACCATCAGGAATCTCAAAATAAAATGCACTTAGTGTCATTGGGAAACCAGGAAGATAAGGCAGGGCTGTTCCTGTTTCACCCTCTGTAATTGCAAACACACCCATGGGCCTGCTGTGTGCCAGCAAAACAGTCCAAAATGTAGGGAAAGGGGCAGGCTGGAGGAAAGGGGGCTACCACAAATAAATTTTGTGGTGTAGAGGTATTGTTACAGAGATTGTTTCCATATCAGCAAGCAGGAGAACTTTCAGAAAACACCTTTCTACATTGCTTTTATATAAGGTTCACATCTACTTTTGAATTTTGAATAAGGATTTGCCTTTAGAAGTAAGTCAGTGATCACACCCCAGAAACGCCCTCCGATTGATAGAAGCCATAGGAAAGCTACTCAAAAGCCCATGGACTTCATGTCACACACCCTCAGGCACAGTGTATAAAATTATATCACTCTCAAACCTCCCAGAGAAAGACACCCAAGTTGCACTTGAAGCCCAGAAATAATGAGATTTACAGTAACTTAAGAAAGGACTTGTTCTTCCCAAGTTCTCTCTGCTAGCACTTATTTCCTCATGTTCACTGTTCCCTGAAGGAGTGGAACATAACTTCAAACTAGTGCTGCTGGGACAGGTTCGGCCTTCCCACCACCTTCCTAGTTGTTTCCGTCTACAGTAAAGAGACTCCTCGCACCAGTACAGCCACTGGAGTGCATGCATTTTCTCATCCCCAGGACAAGGCCTGAAGGAGACCGCCTCCAAGGAAAGGGATTCTTCCTGTTAAGAACAGGCTTTGCCTCCATCTGCTCTTTGGAGTAATTTCTGGTTTGTCGCTTTTACAGAGGGCAGCAGCATCTTTTCCTACAAGGGTTCATCCTCTCCTGCTTAGACAGGTCTCTTACTTTTAGACACTTTTGTGTGGTTCAGGCTGACTTCATATGGCACCAGCAGACTCAACAGCATAAGACATATTAGCTCTAAACTGTCACACAAGCCCTGAAGTATTGGTTTTGGACTCATCAGAAGGAAACACTTTGCAGTGTCCTGTTCACATCCATCAGCATTTAAGGCTCTTGGGTTTTTACTCCCTCAGTGTGGTTTTTAGCAAATTCTGGACATGTTTGTTTCTTGATGTGAAACACAGGCTGTACCCAGCCACGGCAGTTTGGTCTCAGCCTGACAGAGGAGAATTATGATGAGCCTAACTGGATTTTTGTAGGGACAACACAGTAGTATTGTTTATACTACCTTCAATCAATGGAAGCGAGTGTCAGTAGATGATCAGGACTTTCCATGACACAACTGAAGTGCTCAGCTCCAGGAACATAAAGGACAAATTCATTTTGACTTCACCACCATATAAAGAATGTTTGCCTTCAGTCAAGATACTAAGAATTTCCAAGCCATAATAGAGCTGCCACTCCTCTTTCTGGACACCAGCCAATATAAGATCTTCAAAGGAAATCACAATTTTCTGCATTTTCTAATGCAAGCTTTGGTATCAAGGAGAAGGATTTCCTTCTCTCCTTGGTTAAGATCTAAGAATGTGAGATCAAAGTAGGGAAATTAACTCCTTCATGTCAATTCACTAACATACCTGAAACCACCATCAAAACTTTGAAAGGGAGATTTGGATACAGTGAATGGGGCCCATCAAAATACAGTTTCATTTGGTTTCAGGATGCCCCATATGACCTCTTGAAAACTGAAGAGTAAGAGTTAGAGAAGGCCAAATTCAGCATCTTTGCATATTAAAAGAGGAACAGTCTCAGCGAATGACTCTCAGTGACTGCTCCAAGTTACATGCGAAGTACCCACACAAAGATGAGAATACAGCACTGCTGGCACAATAATTTGTGGAGACTTATGTATTGTTTAGCTTTCTGTCCAAACAGACACAATGAGAGGACAGGGACAAAAGCAAAACTGTGATTTGAGAGTGGGGACAACGGTCAAGGTGGCAAGTGGTCTTGTCACGCTCATTAGTAGAACATGGAGACATTTTTCTTGTTTCTGTCCTTTACCAAACAACCTGCCTATATGTCACTTATCTGTTTATACTTCTCATGCTTCTTACCAAATTTCTATATTTATAGATAACTGGCACTTTCTAAATGCAAAAGTGTATTATGATATGGAGCTTTTACAGCTGTAGACACCCACAAACAAAGTCTGTCAGGTGAAACTGTCCAGCAGCACAACAGTGGATATTCTAAAAAGAAGTGACAAGTGCTCGTAGTAGGTGACTCTGTTTAAGGATGCTAAGGTGCCCATCTGCTGGCCTGACAGGGAATTATACTGCCTTCTGGGAGGTAAGGTCTGAGATGTTGCTGAGAGTGTGCCACAACATGTCAAGAGCAGACTACTATTCATTCAGCTCTTTCATGTGCTCATGAGTGATACTGCAAGCTGGAATCTGGGCAGATTCAAGGAAAACTACAAAGTCCTGGAGGTGCCAGCAAAAAGTATTGATGTCCAAGCTATCTTTTCTTTCATGTTACCAATTAGAAGAAAGGGTGCTCTCCTGGAAGCACAAAAACACTTCATCTAAGTCAACAGATCCACATGGCTGGGAGCAGCTCTGTGGAAAGAGACCTGGAGTGGACAATAAGTTCAACATGAGTGAACAGGGTATTGCTGTGTCAAAAAAAGTCAACAGGCTGCTGGGTTGCATCAACAAGGGCATCACCAGCAGAGATAAAGAAGTCATTATACTCTATCCAGCACTTGTAAGGCCATATCCAGAATACAGTGTTTGGTTTTGGTCCCTCTATACAAAAAAGATGTGGACAGTCTGGAGAAGGTCCAGAGAGGTGCCACAAAGATGATGATCAAAGGACTGGGAAGCCTGCCTTATGAGGAGAGGTTGAGAGAACTGAGTTTGTTCAGCCTTGAGAAAAGAAGGCTTAGCGGAGACCTTATCACCATGTTCCAGTATTAAAAGAGTGGCTACAAAGAAGCTGGAGACTCCCTTTTTACAAGGAGACACATTGAAAAGGTGAGGCTTCATGGTTCTCTTAGGGAGATTCTGTTTGGACAGAAGAAGAAATTTTTCACAGTAAGGACAATCAGTCATTGGAACAATCTCCCCAGGGAAGTGGTGGATTTCCCAGTGTCGAACACTTCTAAAATATGTCTGGACAGGATGCTGTGATTTTGCCAAGAAATGTTGCACCAGATGATCTTTGAGTTCTCTTCCAGCCTGGTATTCTATGATTCTATTACGTGAGTCAGAATATTTAAAAAATATAAATTTTGGTCCATGAAATTGGGAGGGAAGACATTTTTTGAAGTAGCTTTTTTTTTTAACCAAATCTAGTGAGTGTGTGTCTACTCTCTTTTGATATCTCTCAGAATAGAAATAGAATGAGTTTCACTAAAATCACTCATCGGAATGATAAGCAAGAGAATGACAACATAAAAAAATCAGATAAAAGAAAGCAAAAATTAAAAGGGATGCGTTAAAATTAATTTCCCCTTTGGGCTTGAAGATTATGATTTTGAGATTAAAGTATCTAAATGTTTTTAACCTTTTTGCCTTTTCTCATATTTTCAAATTAATTATCTTTCTTTGTGGTCTACTCCAAAAATTGGTAACAGCCCAAGTTCTCTATGAACTACCCCTTAATAAACAAGACAAAAATAAAATCTTTCGACAGAAAACAAATCCTTTGTAATGGCATGCACAGACTTTACACTGCTAAATCATGCAGTAATTATTCCCAAAACTCACCGTGGGGTTTTTTTCAGTAATTCCTGAAGTAAAACATTTAATAATTTGTTTGCGAACTTGAAAACATTTAAACACATCTCATAACGAAAAAATAACTAAAAGCATACTCATATGTGCAGCTAACACTATGAGAATTTTCAGTGCCATGGCCCAAATGACATCCAAGGTTGCCAGTCTCAGAAGAGGAAACAAAACTCTATAGTCTGTACTCTGACACTTTTCCACCTACTAATTGCCATAGTCCCTGAGATCTGTGAGGGGTACTTTAGACACCCCTTCTCTAGCACACTGCCTGCAGACCCTGGCACTGTTCTAGACACCATGTTGTGAGACAAACTGGTGGGCAACAGGATGAGGCTGTAGAAATCATCAGTGTCACACATGAAACTGGCTTACTGGTGTATAAAAATACAGTAAAATTTCATGTATGGAATGACTGCAGAGACTAGATGAACCAAATAGGGAATTACAGTTTGCTGTAATTTGTAAGCAATTTGTCAAAGCAAAATGTCCTCCTGGATATTTGATGGAGGAATGAGTCATTCACCAATTTGGTGTCCTTCTTAGAAACCCAGACCAGTTGCTCTGAGAGCTACCAGCATCTATCCTAAAGCATGGTTTGAGTTTACAAGTGTATACATGACAACAATTCTCAAACTTTGGTATATTGAAAAGCCAGAACATCCTAACAGTTATAATCCTCAGACCAGTAAACATCTTTGACTGTAGAGGGGGACTAAATATTACCTGTTACAATAAAGCTGACATTTCTTTCGGATTTTCCCACTTTATTGGATGCCACACAGCTGTAGATTCCAGAAGATTTGGCTTCAGCTACAACGAGAGTGCTAGCAGTCTGCAAAAGAAAGAAGAGGTTTAGTTCTCATTCGCTCAGGAACTCAGTTCCCTTCTGTTTTTTCTAACTCACCATTGGCAGTCCCATGATCCACTCTTTCCATTTGTTCAGTGATGGGCACCTCGGGGGCTATTTAAAGGAGATGTCACCATATACAGTTTTGGAAAGCATAGAAGAATAACAGGAAACAAGCTCCTTGGGTGACCTTTACATTATCAGAGCCATCACAACCAAAAATATTTAAATGTGTCTTTCAGATCGATTTGTCTCTCGATGGTGATGTAATGGTAAGCTATAAAACATGAAGCATGACACAATGTGTTTCACCCAAGGAGATAAGCAGCCTGCAATAGAAGAGCCAAACTGCAAAGGGAATAGGTGAGGCATGCCTCAGGCACTTGGATAATGCTGGGAAAAAACCTACAACATAGCTCCATTTGGCACTAAACTCTTTTGATTTCTCTTTCATTTTCCCACATATGTGTCAGGTGAGAAAGGACAGGGGCAAAACAGATGTTAACCTGTGCTCTTTTGTACTATTTTCTCTTCTTGGACTTAATACATCTATTATTAAATAATAATACATCAGTTTTATTTACATTGTATTCTATCACCATCTTAAGAGGTCCATCACACTAAATATTTTCTCAGAGTTATATGACTTACAAGATAAGACCTTCGAAAACCAGGGACCAGCAACACCTAATGTGCCTTTAGAAAAATAAAAACCACAGTAATAATAAGAGCTTTACTTTCAGGGTAATGGAAAGACACAGTCTAATGGCTTAGGCACTAAGCAAAAGAGGAAAGTTATACAGAAAAAACTGAGGTGTCATTCTATTACAGGATTGAGACATGGGGCATGAACATGAACCTCATCAGTGTAACATGTTCCCAGTTACAACGTGGTAGCTTAATCTTCTGTCATTCTGTCTCCATTTTACTTCTGTAAAACACATTTTGGCTGGAGTTACAGGCAGAGCTGGGATGGTGACAAAAGGAAATTGTATGGCCTCAGAATTCTGTTGTTTGGAATTATTTGGCTTTTCTAAAAACCTTAAAATCAGTTTTGTGCAATTAATACATTCTTTTAAGTCTGCCTGATTGCTGGAGTTCAGAGACAAGCCCAAGAGGGTGAGTCAGTGATAAATAAGGACCAGTTATCTACATTTCTACATAAACACTGGCTGAGTATTTGCACTGCTTCTGTCTCTACTCAGAGACTTCATAGCTATCCCCAAACTCCTGGTGAATCCTTGATTAGTACAAATCTTCTGGCTTCCCAAAATCATTCTTTAGTAGAAAGAGTCTATTACTTTTTCTACTACTTGAGCAAACACAGTGGAGTCAAGTCATTTGATTTTGGCTTATCTGTTTTAGAAGACTGCACTATGGTAAATTCACTGCAAATGATGCTAACAGCACCATTACCCTGTAAAGCTGTCTCAGTGGTCTGCTAACAAACTACATAACATTTCTAGCTAGAATTTTTCTAAACTACCTTTTTGGATGTTCTCTGAGATGAAAGAGGATCAGTAATACTAGGTACTTAATTACACACCTTAGAAAAAATCATCCTGTTTTGCTAAATTCAAGAGGCTGACCTCTACAAATTTCTAATTATAAAGGATGGGTCCAGCTCTGTCTATATTTTGTCATTCTCTTTGAATTTCTTCAGTTTTTAAACATAATTTTGCAAAGTACAGACACAGGTCCCAGCACCAGGATTCCTGCAGCTATTTTATCAACACTAACTCAGAACAGAAGGAAGTCCCATAATGACTACCACAGAAGGCTAATGTGGGTGGTTAAAAACTGTTTCTGCCATCCCAGATTTTTTCTGCTAGTTGGTATTAACTCATAGCAACTTTGCCCAGGTAGCAACTGTGACCTAAAACACACAGTGAAGGAGAATGAAGCTCTTGCTCTCTGACTCCAGGACACCTGTCTTTATCCTACTATACACAGAGGCAAAACATTTTTGAGCCTGAAAAATATATGCCAACTATTCCTCCCACAATTACTCCAATGGTTTGAAAAATTTTCGGTAGTATCAAACTGTATTTTGTCCTTATATCACAAGGTATTAATTTTTAATGAAAAATTGTGCAGTCAATCTTGAGATTTACTGCTGCAGCTGACTGCGATGTGATTATTACTTTTGTTACACTGAGGATGGTGCATACAGTTACGCTAAAGCATCAGGACTGCAGTTACTTACATACACAACGTGCTTCTGGTGTATTAAATTGCCTGAGAAAACATTCATTGGCACTAAAATTCAGTTCTTTAAACTGTTAGCTTCTCCCCCAGCATTGTTTTGGTTTTGACCAACTTGCACTGCCCCAAATACTTCTCTAGCATGGGCCAAGGATCACTTCCAACAGGCAACTTCCATGCAAGCGACATCTTTTTGGAAGGCAAGGGAAATATATATTATGAACACAGGAGGCCTTAGTGCCAGAGGGCAGTCATTGATATGTTTACTTGACTAAGCAGGGAAAGCCACGGTGTCTAGGGAAAAGCAAGACTGACTCTGCAACAGAACAGATTATTTTAGGGACAACACACCTCGGCATAAACCTTTTAGCTTATAAATTAGTGTTAAGGATAAGATAACATCTCTTTAAATATTTTGTGAGCCCTCCAGTGGTGCAGTCTGTGTTTTGCATTGCAGATGCCAACTAAAATGCACCAGAGGAGCCTGGCACATTGCTGTTTATTGAGCAACCATGGCTGTTTGAGATCAGCTTGTGCAGCACGGTTCCTCTGTATAGCTATTGCAGCAAAAGATGAAAAAGTTCTCGCAACTTTGCATCATCTGGCTTCGCAACAGGGAGTTTCAGATCCTAGATTTGCAACCACGCTGTATACAGAAAGCCTGAATCTAGTTTGCCAGAACAGGCAAATTCCTCCTGGCATGCTCCATATCTTGAGTATTATCTGTCCGCAAACCTCATTTACCACTCAAGTTTTGGTCCTTTATTCTTTCTTTCTACACCCATCATATCAGCTGAAGCACTACGCTACAGGCTCATCTGAAAGGCGTGGGCTAGGGAAGTAAATCCCATATTGCTGCAGCTTCAGGTGTCAAATAGAAGAGGCACAAAGCAGAAAACCTAAGAAATTAAAGAGGAATTTACAGATTTGTTTCACGTGGAAACTCATGAGGCAAAGACTGAGGGACAAAACAGTGCAAAGCAACTGGCATGATCACTGTGTTGGAGCCAGGATGGGCTGGTCTTTCCTTTGGATGGTCTGCTTCAATTTTTCTTTTTTCAGAGTAGCTGAGATATAGGATTAGTACTGCTTTAGCCGATGGCAGAGAAGAAAGAGGAGTTTTCAGAAAATGGTTGGCAACATGACTACTGTGTGACTCCTAGAAGGCCTCTGCAGACACTGGCATAAACATGCTCTGCTCAGAGATTGCTGTTCTGACTTCCTGAAACAGCCCATATATTTTAAAAACAAAATATTGTCCTTTCAGCATAGAACAGGTTAGTACAAGTGTGTAAATTATTTCTGATTCCCTGCTATTTATGCTTTTAAGAACATGTTATTGTTTTAAAAAATAAGAAAATAAATGAAAATATGCTCTCTTCAAGCCCTTGGATTTATCTTTGGCTAAAGGAATATTATTTAGGAAGACCCATATCTAAATACTGGTAGTGCACTGTTGGATTGGTCTGTTTGTGCCAAAGACATATGAACTATGTGCCTCACATGTTGGCAAGGAGCATCAGTGCAAAACATCTGGACAACACGTTTCACCTTCAGGACCACCATCGAAGAAACACCAAAATATCTTGAACAGCAGGACATGAATATACTCAGGAGAGCACCCTCTGCCCCCCTGGGGTCAGACAGGCAAGTCACTGCAAGGTACTGCTCTACAGCAAGCACAGCTGCAGTTTCCCTCTGCATCCTGTGCTGTCCCCCCAGACTGAGCACAGCTGGCTGACTGGCAAGGAATCACGCCACAGACAGCTACACCAGGGCGCCCCCTGCTCTCCTCCCCAGGGCCAGGGGTAGGGCAAGGCAGCACTTGATTCACACCTCCCTTCTGCACCAAGGCAGGCGATCAATTTCAGGAGCTGGAGGGAGCTGCAGCTCAGCAGTAGCAAGTGCTGAATTCTGCTGGTTTTAATCTCACCCAGGGCTTGGCTCCACTGGCACCTCGCAATGATCCGCTTGAAAGTGTTGACAGTGATTCTAGTAGCACTTAAGAAGGCTCCAGGAGAAGTTACAATGTGCTGAAGAGAGGCAAGCGACACTGCTGCTGCTATCTTTAGCCTGATTTCTGAGGAAAATCACACTGTCCCTATGTCCATCTGTCTGCCAGCCTGTCCATCTGTCTGCCAGTATCCTCTCTTCCCCCACGTGCTCAGTAATTTTTGAATCCATTGTCCAATTTCAACTAAAATTGACTGACAACTCAAAGCGCAAAGATCTCACGCATTTCATGAAAACCAGCTGCTGGGTAGAGAAGAAAGATCAAAATGTTGCTGTAGTGAGCTAAATAGCTTTCTCTTCTGCTTTGGGTTCCAGGTTGGCAATCTCTACAGATGTACTGGCCAGACAGATGGCATGTATCAGGACTGAGAACAGACACAACACGTGCTTCGTCATTTCATCAGTAATGTAGGGATGTGGAAGAGAGGTAGAGGTTTAGGGCTTGGCATAGAAGATGCAGGAGAGATGGAATCATTCTATTTTGCATAGTCACACCTTATTAGTCATGTCTAGGAAGGACTGACTCTTCTGACTATCTAGCACTCCACCTTTATGTTGGGAATTTTAATACTATCCTCAGTCAGGCTGACCCATTGTTGCCAGCCAAACGAGAGATGGACAAGGGCGAGTCTAGGTTTCATCTTACAGAATCATGTTACAGGGCCATTACTTTCCATTTTCCATGAGGTCAGGTGGCTTTGTCACTCACAAGGGATGGGACCACTGAAAACCTCTGTCAGTAAGGTATTTATGCAGTGGAAAACAAAGCCATATACATATATATATATATAGCACATCTCAAGGATGAAAGATCACCACCTCCCGAAGGTCTTGCTTTATGGTGAACTTGCCGCTGGCTGCCGCAAGAGAGGAGCCCCGAAGAAAAGATACAAGGACTCCCTGAAACAACATCTCAGCCTTGGCCATATTGATCAGCATAACTGGTCTACTCTGGCCTCCAATCGGGAGGCCTGGAGACACACCATCTATAACGCTCCTGTTTCCTTTGAGAACTCACACAGGATCACTCTCGAGGAGAAAAGACAATGCAGAAAGAACCGTGACTTGCAGAATATACCACCTAAGGAGTCTTTCTGTTGTGCCTTTTGCAATCGGGCATGTCTATCTCGTATTGGCCTTATTAGCCACCAGCATGCTTGCAACAAATGTGGATAGAGCCTTCCCCAAATCTTCATTCGTGAAGCCTAGTCATGATGATGATATATGTGTGTGTGTGTGCATATATATATATATATATATATATATATATATACGCGCACACACATATATGCATGATAAACCACAACTTCATGCATTATTACCCTCTACACACAGTTCTTGAAGGCATATCCTGTGACACAGACGCATGGTACCTGCTGTTGTCGGTGGGACCTCAATATTTGCTAACAGCAGAGGGGTGAGGCAGTCACCCCTCATTCTGTTCAATTTTGGTTTCTCAAGGATGTGATTCTATAGGTTATTTCCCCCAAAAAAGGGGGTTTTGTCTCACTCCCTCCGACTTTTCCCTGTACTCAACTGCCCTCTTGTCTATTGTCTCCTTCCCTCGGATTTATCATCCTTTCTTCTTGAACCATGCTTTTTACTCTCTTTCATGTGAACTTAGTGCTTTTCTGCACATTCTCCATACCCAGGATCATTGTCAACTTCTCCTGCAGCACCCTGTCTCTTCTACCCCTGTACAAGGGGTACTGACTCCTGTCAAAGCTATTGATAAAGTAGTGTGTGCCTGCACACACAGGAGGGAACGCATGCCTGTATGTATGCACTGGTAACAATGAATGCACCAGCTTTTTGTACCTTATAATTGCAGGTCATTCACAGATTGACATTTTAATGAACACAGCCCATGCAAAGAATAATAATCAGTATTAGCGCTCAGTAATACAGAGCAGTTAGCTTTAGCTGGGAACACTGAGAAGTGATAGGTTTTAGTAGCCGAATGACAGGAGAGTGTCTGTGACCTGTTTACATGATAAGTCTAAGAATAGCGCAACTTTGTAGGAAATCCCTGAAATGTCCAACAAAACAAGAATTAAAACTTTGGGTGGGGGAATCAAATCACTTCAAGTGTTGTATTATGATTAAGTATTATGGTTGATGTTACAAAGTTCTTCCATTATACCACTCGAGTTTCTCAATGTCCTTTTAGAGAGGCTTCAGCGGAAATGTTACTAAAACAGTGTTGTCACGGTTTCTCTGTCACCAGAAGAATAACTGCGCAGACACAGGGTTTGAGGTTTTTCTAACTTTAAAATGTACTTCTGACTACCCTGATAACCACAGAGAAACAAACAACTGACCACAGCAAAGAGCCAAACTGGAGGCACTCAGATGTTGCACATAGAGAAAATGCGTGGAACTGGCACGAAGTCTTTAAGAAGGTGAAAACAGCTACCTTGATTGCTAAAGAAACCTTTTGATAATTCCTTTTTCATCTCTTCCCTTGGTTACAATAATCTCATCCAGTCACCACCCTCATTTCTCCTTTCATAGTGACCCAAGTGTGCAGCCTTTTTCAGTTTCTTCATCCATTTTTCTCCATTCTTCTACCACTTTGCCTCCTACATCTTTGTTGTTTCCATTGAGCTTTGAGATTGTTTCTACCACGCTTGCTGTGTGGGGATATGAAAGTGGGATAGACACTCTGTTTAGGTTGCAGGGCACCATTAATGTGGAAGAGCCTCAGAGAGCTGTTCACAGCTGCTTGCAATAGCAGAACTGCTCACAGCAGTCCATCAGAGCCAGACGCTTGTGATGATGCGCTGCATTCAGTGAGCTCAGTGCTATTAACAGCCTTACAATATCGCAACAGATGCGGAAGAGTTCTGCTTGAACTGTGTCTCTCTGAATTTGCTCTGGGAGATTGAGAATGACTCTTGGGCTATAAAGAGTGAAAAGTCATAGACTCCCATGGATTTAAGAAAATAATCCTGGATGCTCCAGAGCGGCTGTGTGTGCACAAATCATGCAACTCTCAGCTTGGCCAGGAACCTGGGCTTAGAGAGCATTTTCTGCTTTACAATAGCAATCCAGCTGTGCTTGAAGAGCTATGGAAGAGCAGCAAAAATAGAGAAACTTAAGAAAAGCTGTGAAAAAGCGGAGTAAAGGGATTGTTTCACTGATGTCCCCCTTCCCATAAGGACCAGGAGGAATAAGGCAAAGCAAGGTAGAACTTTCTTAGTTGAACTAAAGAGCAAGAAGACAAGGAATACCAAGGAGAACCAATAAGTTTCACGGCAAAACTTTCTGTGCAGAGACAATTCCTTGGTTCATTTCTGGGCACATTTTTCAAAAAGGGCTGTTTGCCAAAGACTTCAAACAAACCCAGCATTTCTGCTGCAAGGACCCATTATTAGCATCTTCCTCCAGGGAGGAATTTATTTGCTCTTGACTGGAAGTTGCTTTGACATTTCAGCCACTCCTCTTACACTGTCTCCAAAATACACAGCACACAAGGAGAATGAGATCTGATCATTAGACAGTTCCTTCTGCACCCTGTGAGCAGGTAGGACTTCACCCATAGCATGGCTATATGCCTTCTGGAAAATAATTGATTCTTATCACCTTGTTCATCATTCCTCCTTTGGAGTAAACTGTGTCTTCCTGTGCCTGAAATGGTTTCCCTTTCCTCCTTCAAATCCCTCCTCATGTCACATTTTTCATGTGCTTTCCTATGATAGTCTACCCTAGGAAGCTGTTTGCTTCCATCTTTGCCTTGATCTTTAAGCACGTAGAGCTGGACAGCTAAATAGAGCAAATGCCTCAATGGGATCCAGCCCATTCCCATGCGCTGGAATGGTGCCATGAACACCTGTGGTACTTTCTAAATAATATAACAGCAGGAGAAAATGCAGTCCCAGATCTGATTCTTGGCTGCACGTAAAACCCTATTTATTCTGCGGCGTGTGAAAGGGCCCTAACATGAGAATAATTACAGTTCATACACATTTTCACATGCAGAAGACTGAAGGCAGCCATCAAGGAAAAGAGACCTATAACCTCAGCACCCTTAGAATTACAAAAAGCATTTTGGTGGCCTTAAAAATGACCAGCCTAGAGAAAGATAGGCTTTAAAATTTATAAACTCTTCAGATATTACTGCCACAAACTAAACTAGCCTGTGAAAATAGATGCTGTGACAGTGGCATGGCATTGTACATCTTCATCTGAGCGGCTCCATAGCACAGGCTAGCCAACCACACCAAATCAGTCTCATGTATAACCCAGGGAAGTGAAGCTGATCTAGGACATCCTTGATTTGAAGGCTTTAATTGATGGGCAATCCTCCTTAGCCCCTGGCAAGTTAATCTGATTGGCATTCTCTCTCACATTAGACACCAACAGAATACAGGCCCACATGCCCTTCAGAATTGTGGGCATTTCCCCATGGCACATAAAGGAATGCTTCACTTAGACTAGACACTTAACATTGAGATGGTTAATATCACTGGGATGAATCCCACCTTGCTGTCTGACTGAGATCTCTCTTAAACTTTGCTTCTGTAGTCTGGATTCCTTTGGCTCTTTAAATTTTTTATTCCAGAAAAGACTTGATCATCCAATCATCTAGGACCACATCTGTGAATAAACTCTAATGAGAGTAAATTGTTTAATTCTCATAGGAAAAACAACATGAAATTGTGCAATTGCACAACATTAACCAAAGATGGCCTGGAACCCTGCCCCTGTGCTCCTGAGGTACCCCCAGATACTACAGACCATGTCTAAGAGAGCAGTTATAGTGAATCCCACTGATACACTCTCTTGGTATGTCACTTAATATGATTGCCTGCAGAAATAAATACATGTCTGCATCTCAGCAAATAAATACCAAGTATGAAAGTTATCTGCATGTATGCAGATTTTCAAATCAAAACAATATAAAAATACTGGCTTCCTCACTGTTACCTCTAGAGCATCTTACAGTGCCTTTTCAACACATGCTCTCACACAGAAAGGTTATCTGCTCCTAGGAATCATACCTTATTTTTGCCCTCTATTACAGCCATTCTCTCAGTGATGCTCTGGATCCTGTTTCCTATGTTGCTGCCAGCTTTCACGATGAAAGATCCTTCAGTATAAAAGCAAAAGCCATGCCTGAAGACAACAAAAATTGAAATTTTATTGATTCAGTAATAGAAATTCAACACATAAGACAAAACAATTGTTCTGAAAACAGTGATAAGTCAGGGAAACTTCAGGTGCCGTGATGACCAGGTAAGTACAGTTATTTTTCATTAAATCTGATAATTGGATCCACTTCCCCAGCCCCTCCTTGAATATTAGTTCTCTGGAATCAGTGTTCACATTTAACCCACTGTGGACCAGGAGGTCAGAATTTACAGTCAGAGCCTGAATATAGGGCTGTGCAAGACCAACATCCTATTTCCAATGCTCCTGTTTTCGGACATCACCATGGTTCAATGTTGGCTTAAAATGTGAGTTCATACACCTTTTAGCCTTTAAGTCAAGACCCATTCCATAATGTACTGGATGCTGATTTATTATGTGCGGGTTCTTTTTGTTATAATGGCATATGATACTGCTAGTCATTTTAGAATATTTTCTTTAGTTCAGTTTACAAAATGGCAAAATATCAATACTGTGGCTCAATGATTACAAGACACAGTAAAAATGAGCATAATCTTGCAAATTAGCAAAACAAAGTTAAACAAAACTAAATAGTAAGAGGATTTAAAAGATAATTTAACCAAGAAAAAAATCAAAGTCATCTTAATGAATGGAAGTCCCAGAGAAAAAATGTTTTTGCCTTATGCAACAAATCAGCTTGTAATCAAAACATTCAGGTGTGGTCATGGTAGAGCTAATTTGTTTCTCAAAGTCTAATTTGGTACACATGGAAATAAACACAATGGAATGCTTCTTAAATGTTGCCTGACCCTGTTCTTCTTTGAGAGTATCAAGCTTAGCTTTTCCTCCAAAATTAAGTTGTTCCTTGTTCAATTCCAGTTCCATTGGTAGAGACTAACCCTTCAGCTAGGGGAATCTCTTTCAGATATTCTTTGATCTTTCATGGATTTGAAAGATAACGACTGTAGTATCTGTAATCAAACAGTTCTGACATGTATAACAGTTGTTTGGAGAAATGAAATTTAATGCCCAGTGACTGGATAACAGAATATGATGTAATCCTGATCAAAGAATAAAATTCATTTCCTTTCACCAACTGTGCACTTTGCTTAAACTTTGTTTAGAATATCAATAGTACAATAACTTTACATGCTTGTTTTTAATTGTGCAGCTTTCTGTCAAATTGGCCAGTGTCTTAGCAGATATATACCAGCTTAGAGAAATGATGCATGGAATCTGATTTGGGCTGTAGTATGTGATTGTCTGCCCCAATTTCACAATATACATTGAGAGGATCAGTGCGTTGAAAAGGCAAAAAAACCCCAGAAGGCCATGGAGATTCATGCATGGAAAGAGGGCAGGGAGCAATAGCATGGCAGTAAAGCCCTATCAACGTTACTTTTTCTTTCAGACTCTGGTTTTAAAGCCAACTTCTAATATGTGACTCTTGAGGCCAGGGTGGATGAAAGATAGCTGCATTAAGGGAGGCACTTAATGCATTCTAATGGGAAAATTTGATTAAAAATTACTCAGAAAGGTAGATGTCATTTACTTTGCACATTTAATGCTCCAAGAAGTCTTGATCTGTAGCAAGACTAAAACACAGAAGACATGATAATTTGGGTAAGATGGTAACATTTCCATGCCATAGGAGATATCAGAACTCATTTTGTGATGTCAGTACTGTACGCACACAAACAGGCAGTATCAAAAACACATCCTTGTGAGTGGATGCAATCTGTACAGGAAAACAGACACCCCAAAACCTCACTTGACTTATACTAAAAAGTACCTCCTAACTTTTTTTCCTTTCCCCACAGAATACGTTTGTGTTTCTTTGTTACAATGCTGAAATTTTGTACTCTTTACCATAAGTCTTTACAGAGACACATATTTTGGTAAAGGACAGAAAGAAGCACATGCATATTCAGAAGCTGCTTGTGCATCTCTGAAAAGCATCTCCGATTTCCTTTCTTGCAACTCCGTAGCCTCCAGACTTAGTTGCTATTATTATACTCTTCCTCATAATTCCTTAAAAAGACTGTATACATTTGGGTTGCCATGTCTTAGGGATGAGGACACTGTTATGTCTTTGTTGATGCCCAGCACAATGAAGTGCTGATTATTCATTAATATCATAATACAAACCACCATCATAACTACAATAACATCACAAAAACAAGAAAAAGACATGTAAAACGCCAAATGAAATATTAGCCCCAGAGGCACATCTGTGAACTCTACTAACTTCACATACCATTCCACATCTAAACTTCTGACTACGACGTTAATGCAACTATAGTAGAAACTCAAATACACTTCATAGCTGTTACCCATGGTTTTAATAAAAAAGGAGTCACAATCAAGCTGAGAGTACTATATCCAGCAGCTGCCAGTACACAGTTGGAGACATGAATACTGTTCTATACACCACTTTGGCTCCACAGATTGCTGGATCACCAAACATTTGCAGATCTGTTGCAGCGCGGCTGCCAGGCAAAGCCTAGGACAGGACTCAGACTCATCCTTTTCGATGCAGAACCAGATGCGTTCTCTCATCAGCTGCCAAATGCCTTCACTTTAACCTCAAATACAGTAACGTAGCTTTAGGAACATCACACAAGCTACATCCACTCTTCTGAGCTGGCTGCTCAGGTTAATACTCCAAGGCATCCTGCCTCTTGCTGCTGCCAGGGGTGCTATGTGAAAGACACTACCAGCAGCAGGGTAGAGATGGGGAAGGGACAAATGGGAGTAGTGAAGTCCTGACTCTTAACCTGACCTCTTCTAACAACGGGCATTTTGTAACAGAAAGAGAAAAGGCTCTGCTGAATGTAGATGTAGTCATCAAACCAAATGTTTGTGTTAAGTGCAGATGCTTGGAGAGAAAGAGAGAAAAATGAAAACACAAAAATCTATGCTGGCTGGAACCTAAACAGACAATCATCTTCTTGTTAACTCAATTGATGTTTCATTGCATGTGTCCTCAGATAACATGAGCTACATATTTTTCTGCTTTTTAAAGAAATTGCAAACTACTTCAAAATACCTACTCAGTAAAATAGCAAGGGTATCCCATTTTTAGCAAGAACTGCCTGTGTTTCCAAGGAAATCCCATTGATTTTTAGATATTTGAATATTACTCCAGATATCTCCTGAGTGCATGAATTCCTGAAATGTTTTGTTTTGGGATGAGCCTCGTTGCTTTGCATCTTCAGGAAATCTTATAGCAGGGTTACCACCAGGTTAATGAACAAGCACACAGTGTGCAGAGGGTTTGATAAACAAGCTGATATCCGTCAGCACATTTCTAAGTATTTCTTTCAACTGTTTCCCTGCAGACCCTTTCATGTTCCTATTTTGTGGGTGCGACTCTGCACGTGTAGAGATCCCATAAAAAAATGCTACGGGGATGTGTACGAACCTATGTTTATAAACATTATGTAACCTCAGAGCAAGGTAATCGGGCTCTGCTTTCTTAGTTGAGCAGAGCAATCAGGTTTTTCACACCCTAAGTAGTTTTTCCCATGTGCCTGCATGCGTGCTGGCATGCACATTTGCTGTTGTCCACCCGCACCCACCCTCGCCTGCACAGGCACGCGTCTGAGAAAACAGCTATTCCTTTGGAAAAACAGGAGCCGCTAATTCTCTGTCGGATTTCAAGAGAAGCCCAACACAGGGGGAAAGAGGGGTGAGAGCGTCTCCGTCTATGGTGCAGGGCGCGTTCTGCTGTCAGACCTGCTCTTCACCCGTAGCTTCAGGAATTTGCATAACTTTGGAAAGGCTGGGGGTGGTTTATGCAACCAGAAGTTAAGTCCAGCTTTATAAAGGGTTTGTGATGTGCAGAGCTGGCACCAGCAGGGGCCCTGGAGAAGTGGCCTGGGGGAGAGGACCCAGCCTGCTTCTCAAGAACACATCAAGCCCTTGCGGAAGCAGAGTGTGCCATGTTTGAAGATGCAAAGATAATCACAGTGCTGGGAACCGTCTTGTGTAGCGGAGGAAGCCAAACAACAAGAGGAAAGCTGCATATGCTCCTGATTTCGCACAGGAAGCTAGCAGCACCTCCTGCCAAAGCGAGATAAGAAAACTCCCATGGCTTATCCTGGACAAGGCTGTGGTGATCAACCTTCGCTTCACACTGTCCTCGCTCTGCTCGGTGGCCCGCTCCCTTTCCTAATGAGTTTCAGAGCCCTCACCTTTATTAGTACACAGCACGCCAAGCACAATAGTGTGGTGTATTTATAACTATCAATGGGGAAAAGTTTCCAGGGTAAGAGTGTACTTCATGTCATCTTGATGTATGTCACTGAAATCTAACTACAAACCTACTCCAAGCTAAAGTCCTGCCGATTAAACTACTTGTCTCAGAAGAAAAGCTGTTCTGTTGCCACCCCAGTGATTTATAGCAGAGCATAGGAGCTGAGGTAAGTGATTTGTGGCTTGACCCTGAGTATGACAGTCAGTTCTAAATGAAAGCCCCACATCCAGCCTGACCAGACACATCTTCCCCATACCAAAGACAGTACTGCAGTTTGCAGTTCAAGTAGTACCAGTGGAAGAGCCTCATTCCCCAGACCCACTGGAAAAATACTTGTCTCTACCTCCTTATCTTCCCAGCTCTTCCCTCCCAATTCCTCCTGCGTGATCCCAGAGGCCATTGCAATTGTTACCTCCTGTAACATCCCATTCAACTCTCTAAGCATTCCTCTTGGCAAAGCTGCTGGAAGCCTCAATCACACTGAATCACTGAGGCAGTGCTTGTCAATTGATAGTATTCGTCAATCGCACCAGTACTAGGTGCCAGGGGAAGCCATCCTGTCAGTAATACTGCCCATTTTTTAGAGTGATTAATGGCAGTCACAATACTCTTCTCAGCACCTTTCTTTTTTTAAAGAGCAGCCATCTATTCCTAGCAGTATCAGGACAATGTTACTACAAATCCCAGTTGGGCTGACTCACATCTTTCAAGAAGCAATGGTGACAACACTAACTTAAGACAGGAACTC